CTTGGTAGTTGGCGGACTTGGGAAGTGGCGGACTTGGGTAGTTGGCAGACTTGGGAAGTTGGCGGACTTGGAAAGTGGCGGAATTGGGTAGTTGGCGGAATTGGGTAGTTGGCGGACTTGGGTAGTTGGCGGACTTGGGTAGTTGGCGGACTTGGGTAGTTGGCGGACTTGGGTAGTTGGCGGACTTGGGTAGTTGGCGGACTTGGGTAGTTGGCGGACTTGGGTAGTTGGCGGACTTGGGTAGTTGGCGGGCTTGGGAAGTTGGCTGACTTGGGTAGTTGGCGGACTTGGGTAGTTGGCGGACTTGGGTAGTTGGCGGACTTGGGTAGTTGGCGGACTTGGGTAGTTGGCGGACTTGGGTAGTTGGCGGACTTGGGAAGTTGGCGGACTTGGGAAGTTGGCGGGCTTGGGAAGTTGGCGGACTTGGGTAGTTGGCGGACTTGGGTAGTTGGCGGACTTGGGAAGTTGGCGGACTTGGGTAGTTGGCGGACTTGGGAAGTTGGCGGACTTGGTAGTTGGCGGACTTGGGAAGTTGGCGGACTTGAGTAGTTGGCGGCTTGGGAAGTTGGCTGACTTGGGTAGTTGGCGGACTTGGGTAGTTGGCGGACTTGGGTAGTTGGCGGACTTGGGTAGTTGGCGGGCTTGGGAAGTTGGCGGACTTGGGTAGTTGGCGGACTTGGGTAGTTGGCGGACTTGGGAAGTGGCGGACTTGGGTAGTTGGCAGACTTGGAAGTTGGCGGACTTGGAAGTTGGCGGAATTGGGTAGTTGGCGGACTTGGGTAGTTGGCGGACTTGGGTAGTTGGCGGACTTGGGTAGTTGGCGGACTTGGGTAGTTGGCGGACTTGGGTAGTTGGCGGACTTGGGTAGTTGGCGGACTTGGGTAGTTGGCGGACTTGGGTAGTTGGCGGACTTGGGTAGTTGGCGGACTTGGGAAGTGGCGGACTTGGGTAGTTGGCAGACTTGGGAAGTTGGCGGACTTGGAAGTTGGGGACTTGGGTAGTTGGCGGACTTGGGTAGTTGGCGGACTTGGGTAGTTGGCGGACTTGGGTAGTTGGCGGACTTGGGTAGTTGGCGGACTTGGGTAGTTGGCGGACTTGGGTAGTTGGCGGACTTGGGTAGTTGGCGGACTTGAGTAGTTGGCGGACTTGAGTAGTTGGCGGACTTGGGAAGTTGGGACTTGGGTAGTTGGCGGACTTGGGTAGTTGGCGGACTTGGGTAGTTGGCGGACTTGGGTAGTTGGCGGACTTGGTAGTTGGCGGGCTTGGGTAGTTGGCGGACTTGGGTAGTTGGCGGACTTGGGTAGTTGGCGGACTTGGGTAGTTGGCGGACTTGGGTAGTTGGCGGACTTGGGAAGTTGGCGGACTTGGGTAGTTGGCGGACTTGGGTAGTTGGCGGACTTGGGAAGTGGCGGACTTGGGTAGTTGGCAGACTTGGAAGTTGGCGGACTTGGAAAGTTGGCGGAATTGGGTAGTTGGCGGACTTGGGTAGTTGGCGGACTTGGGTAGTTGGCGGACTTGGGTAGTTGGCGGACTTGGGTAGTTGGCGGACTTGGGTAGTTGGCGGACTTGGGTAGTTGGCGGACTTGGGTAGTTGGCGGACTTGGGTAGTTGGCGGACTTGGGAAGTGGCGGACTTGGGTAGTTGGCAGACTTGGGAAGTTGGCGGACTTGGAAAGTTGGCGGAATTGGGTAGTTGGCGGACTTGGGTAGTTGGCGGACTTGGGTAGTTGGCGGACTTGGGTAGTTGGCGGACTTGGGTAGTTGGCGGACTTGGGTAGTTGGCGGACTTGGGTAGTTGGCGGACTTGGGAAGTGGCGGACTTGGGTAGTTGGCGGACTTGGGAAGTTGGCGGACTTGGGAAGTTGGCGGACTTGGGTAGTTGGCGGACTTGGGTAGTTGGCGGACTTGGGTAGTTGGCGGACTTGGGAAGTGGGCGGACTTGGGTAGTTGGCAGACTTGGGAAGTTGGCGGACTTGGAAAGTTGGCGGACTTGGGAAGTTGGCGGACTTGGGTAGTTGGCGGACTTGGGAAGTTGGCGGACTTGGGTAGTTGGCGGACTTGGGTAGTTGGCGGACTTGGGTAGTTGGCGGACTTGGTAGTTGGCGGCTTGGGTAGTTGGCGGACTTGGGTAGTTGGCGGACTTGGGTAGTTGGCGGACTTGGGAAGGGCGGACTTGGGTAGTTGGCGACTTGGAAGTTGGCGGACTTGGAAAGTTGGCGGACTTGGGTAGTTGGCGGACTTGGGTAGTTGGCGGACTTGGGTAGTTGGCGGACTTGGGTAGTTGGCGGACTTGGGTAGTTGGCGGACTTGGGTAGTTGGCGGACTTGGGTAGTTGGCGGACTTGGGTAGTTGGCGGACTTGGGTAGTTGGCGGACTTGGGTAGTTGGCGGACTTGGGAAGTGGCGGACTTGGGTAGTTGGCAGACTTGGGAAGTTGGCGGACTTGGGAAAGTTGGCGGAATTGGGTAGTTGGCGGACTTGGGTAGTTGGCGGACTTGGGTAGTTGGCGGACTTGGGTAGTTGGCGGACTTGGGTAGTTGGCGGACTTGGGTAGTTGGCGGACTTGGGTAGTTGGCGGACTTGGGTAGTTGGCGGACTTGGGTAGTTGGCGGACTTGGGTAGTTGGCGGACTTGGGTAGTTGGCGGACTTGGGAAGTTGGCGGACTTGGGTAGTTGGCGGACTTGGGTAGTTGGCGGACTTGGGTAGTTGGCGGACTTGGGTAGTTGGCGGACTTGGTAGTTGGCGGACTTGGGAAGTTGGCGGACTTGGGTAGTTGGCGGACTTGGGTAGTTGGCGGACTTGGGTAGTTGGCGGACTTGGTAGTTGGCGGACTTGGGTAGTTGGCGGACTTGGGTAGTTGGCGGACTTGGGTAGTTGGCGGACTTGGGAAGTGGGCGGACTTGGGTAGTTGGCAGACTTGGGAAGTTGGCGGACTTGGAAAGTTGGCGGATTGGGTAGTTGGCGGACTTGGGTAGTTGGCGGACTTGGGTAGTTGGCGGACTTGGGTAGTTGGCGGACTTGGGTAGTTGGCGGACTTGGGTAGTTGGCGGACTTGGGTAGTTGGCGGACTTGGGTAGTTGGCGGACTTGGGTAGTTGGCGGACTTGGGAAGTGGCGGACTTGGGTAGTTGGCAGACTTGGGAAGTTGGCGGACTTGGGAAGTTGGCGGACTTGGGTAGTTGGCGGACTTGGGTAGTTGGCGGACTTGGGTAGTTGGCGGACTTGGGTAGTTGGCGGACTTGGGTAGTTGGCGGACTTGGGTAGTTGGCGGACTTGGGAAGTGGGCGGACTTGGGTAGTTGGCAGACTTGGGAAGTTGGCGGACTTGGAGTTGGCGGATTGGGTAGTTGGCGGACTTGGGTAGTTGGCGGACTTGGGTAGTTGGCGGACTTGGGTAGTTGGCGGACTTGGGTAGTTGGCGGACTTGGGTAGTTGGCGGACTTGGGTAGTTGGCGGACTTGGGTAGTTGGCGGACTTGGGTAGTTGGCGGACTTGGGTAGTTGGCGGACTTGGGTAGTTGGCAGTGGGCGGACTTGGGTAGTTGGCAGACTTGGGAAGTTGGCGGACTTGGAAGTTGGCGGAATTGGGTAGTTGGCGGACTTGGGTAGTTGGCGGACTTGGGTAGTTGGCGGACTTGGGTAGTTGGCGGACTTGGGTAGTTGGCGGACTTGGGTAGTTGGCGGACTTGGGTAGTTGGCGGACTTGGGTAGTTGGCGGACTTGGGTAGTTGGCGGACTTGGGAAGTGGGCGGACTTGGGTAGTTGGCAGACTTGGGAAGTTGGCGGACTTGGAAAGTTGGCGGATTGGGTAGTTGGCGGACTTGGGTAGTTGGCGGACTTGGGTAGTTGGCGGACTTGGGTAGTTGGCGGACTTGGGTAGTTGGCGGACTTGGGTAGTTGGCGCTGGGTGTGGCGGACTTGGGTAGTTGGCGGACTTGAGTAGTTGGCGGACTTTGAGTAGTTGGCGGACTTGGGTAGTTGGCGGACTTGGGAAGTTGGCGGGCTTGGGTAGTTGGCGGACTTGGGTAGTTGGCGGACTTGGGAAGTGGCGGACTTGGGTAGTTGGCAGACTTGGGAAGTTGGCGGACTTGGAAAGTTGGCGGACTTGGGAAGTTGGCGGACTTGAGTAGTTGGCGGCTTGGGGAAGTTGGCCTGACTTGGGTAGTTGGCGGACTTGGGTAGTTGGCGGACTTGGGTAGTTGGCGGACTTGAGTAGTTGGCGGGCTTGGGAAGTTGGCTGACTTGGGTAGTTGGCGGACTTGGGGTAGTTGGCGGACTTGGGAAGTGGGCGGACTTGGGTAGTTGGCAGACTTTGGAAGTTGGCGGACTTGGAAAGTTGGCGGAATTGGGTAGTTGGCGGACTTGGGTAGTTGGCGGACTTGGGTAGTTGGCGGACTTGGGTAGTTGGCGGACTTGGGTAGTTGGCGGACTTGGGTAGTTGGCGGACTTGGGTAGTTGGCGGACTTGGGTAGTTGGCGGACTTGGGTAGTTGGCGGACTTGGGGTAGTTGGCGGACTTGGGAAGTGGGCGGACTTGGGTAGTTGGCAGACTTGGGAAGTTGGCGGACTTGGGAAGTTGGCGGACTTGGGTAGTTGGCGGACTTGGGTAGTTGGCGGACTTGGGTAGTTGGCGGACTTGGGTAGTTGGCGGACTTGGGTAGTTGGCGGACTTGGGTAGTTGGCGGACTTGGGTAGTTGGCGGACTTGGGGTAGTTGGCGGACTTGGGAAGTGGGCGGACTTGGGTAGTTGGCAGACTTGGGAAGTTGGCGGACTTGGAAAGTTGGCGGAATTGGGTAGTTGGCGGAATTGGGTAGTTGGCGGACTTGGGTAGTTGGCGGACTTGGGTAGTTGGCGGACTTGGGTAGTTGGCGGACTTGGGTAGTTGGCGGACTTGGGTAGTTGGCGGACTTGGGTAGCTGGCGGACTTGAGTAGTTGGCGGGCTTGGGAAGTTGGCTGACTTGGGTAGTTGGCGGACTTGGGTAGTTGGTGGACTTGGGTAGTTGGCGGACTTGGGTAGTTGGCGGACTTGAGTAGTTGGCGGGCTTGGGAAGTTGGCTGACTTGGGTAGTTGGCGGACTTGGGTAGTTGGCGGACTTGGGTAGTTGGCGGACTTGGGTAGTTGGCGGACTTGGGTAGTTGGCGGACTTGAGTAGTTGGCGGGCTTGGGAAGTAGGCGGACTTGGGAAGTTGGCGGGCTTGGGAAGTTGGCGGACTTGGGTAGTTGGCGGACTTGGGGTAGTTGGCGGACTTGGGAAGTGGGCGGACTTGGGTAGTTGGCAGACTTGGGAACTTGGCGGACTTGGAAAGTTGGCGGACTTGGGAAGTTGGCGGACTTGAGTAGTTGGCGGGCTTGGGAAGTTGGCTGACTTGGGTAGTTGGCGGACTTGGGTAGTTGGCGGACTTGGGTAGTTGGCGGACTTGAGTAGTTGGCGGGCTTGGGAAGTTGGCTGACTTGGGTAGTTGGCGGACTTGGGGTAGTTGGCGGACTTGGGAAGTGGGCGGACTTGGGTAGTTGGCAGACTTTGGAAGTTGGCGGACTTGGAAAGTTGGCGGAATTGGGTAGTTGGCGGACTTGGGTAGTTGGCGGACGTGGGTAGTTGGCGGACTTGGGTAGTTGGCGGACTTGGGTAGTTGGCGGACTTGGGTAGTTGGCGGACTTGGGTAGTTGGCGGACTTGGGTAGTTGGCGGACTTTGGGGTAGTTGGCGGACTTGGGAAGTGGGCGGACTTGGGTAGTTGGCAGACTTGGGAAGTTGGCGGACTTGGAAAGTTGGCGGAATTGGGTAGTTGGCGGACTTGGGTAGTTGGCGGGCTTGGGTAGTTGGCGGACTTGGGTAGTTGGCGGACTTGGGTAGTTGGCGGACTTGGGTAGTTGGCGGACTTGAGTAGTTGGCGGGCTTGGGAAGTTGGCTGACTTGGGTAGTTGGCGGACTTGGGTAGTTGGCGGACTTGGGTAGTTGGCGGACTTGGGTAGTTGGCGGACTTGGGTAGTTGGCGGACTTGAGTAGTTGGCGGGCTTGGGAAGTTGGCTGACTTGGGTAGTTGGCGGACTTGGGGTAGTTGGCGGACTTGGGAAGTGGGCGGACTTGGGTAGTTGGCAGACTTGGGAAGTTGGCGGACTTGGGTAGTTGGCGGACTTGGGAAGTTGGCGGACTTGGGTAGTTGGCGGGCTTGGGAAGTTGGCTGACTTGGGTAGTTGGCGGACTTGGGGTAGTTGGCGGACTTGGGAAGTGGGCGGACTTGGGTAGTTGGCAGACTTGGGAAGTTGGCGGACTTGGAAAGTTGGCGGAATTGGGTAGTTGGCGGACTTGGGTAGTTGGCGGACTTGGGTAGTTGGCGGACTTGGGTAGTTGGCGGACTTGGGTAGTTGGCGGACTTGGGTAGTTGGCGGACTTGGGTAGTTGGCGGGCTTGGGAAGTTGGCTGACTTGGGTAGTTGGCGGACTTGGGGTAGTTGGCGGACTTGGGAAGTGGGCGGACTTGGGTAGTTGGCAGACTTGGGAAGTTGGCGGACTTGGAAAGTTGGCGGAATTGGGTAGTTGGCGGACTTGGGTAGTTGGTGGACTTGGGTAGTTGGTGGACTTGGGTAGTTGGTGGACTTGGGTAGTTGGCAGACTTGGGAAGTTTGCAGACTTGGGAAGTTGGAGGACTTGGGTATAGTATTCTTTCTGTCGCTCTAGGACCGCCCCCCTGTTGCTCTAGCACCGCCCCCTGCCACTTTCTGCTCTAGAAGCGCTCCCTGCCTTCCATATTTTCTCGAGCCATATGTCTCAGCGTGGTTTTCCTCTGCCATCTCTTCCTTACCCATAGTCCATCAGCCATATTCCCTCCGCCTTAGCCCCTCACCCATAGGTCGTCGGCCACATTGTCTCTGCCTTAGCTCTTTGCTGCCCTCCCTTTTCCCTCCCATGTGTGCCTGATGCTCTTTTCCCGGCTGTCCTCCCTCTCACATGCTTCTTCTCCGCAGCTTCCACTCAGCTTCTCAGTCAAATTTGCCATGTATGTTCCTCACCACATGGCACATCCCTTCTCTTACCTCTCCCCTCGTTCCATAGTGACCCCCTGAGCCTCATGAGGCTCTCTGCCACGCCGTCCCTCACCCCATACTTGCTCCCCGTACCTCTCGCCCTCAGGTGCACTGGGCCCTAGAGTGGACATACCACATGCTCATCCTCTAGCTGGCATGCACGTCCCGTACTCGTGGCCGTTCCGAGACGCCACCAACCACATCGACAACATGCCATTTCTTGAGTGGGCGTGCACATCTCATGCTCTTTCTTTTAACTCCTCGTTACTACTTGTTCGCTTGCACGTCCCATCATCATCCCCCGTGCTTCTCCTTCGCCTCTCCTCGTGCCTCCCCGTGTAACCCCCCTCAGGTGCACTGGGCCCTAGAGTGGACAAACCACATGCCCATCCCCCGAGCTGGCGTGCACGTCCCGTACTCATGGCCGTTCCGAGAGGCCACCAACCACACCGACAACTTGCCGCGTGTCGTCAAGGCCTACATCCTCGTGGCCGGGTTCTTTGCCCATGAGGCTCTCTGCCACGCCTTTCCTCCAGGGGAGCTGCATGGCTGTGAGGACGTGAATTACTTTCCGCAGCAGCAGATATGGCAGTACGCGCTGAACTGGTTTGACTGGCCGGGGATCAAGGAGAAGTGGGAGAATGGGACGGCTGTGTATGACGTGTATCAGAGGCAGCTGCACTGCTTGTACTGGGAAGGCGTGACTGGAGGGGGCCAGGGTACTGGGGCTGAGAATGGAGTTACACGGGTAGATTTGGCCAGGAGGATGAGGGAGAAGTGTATTGTGGCAGACTCCCCCTGATCTTGGTCAAAAAATAATAACCCTTTGCACTGTAGTTGCCAAGTGCTGTAGTATGAAGGGAAGTGCTCCTTATAGGGCACCTCAGTATAGCAGCCTTACAAAGGACATCATGCAAAGAGTGGATACAAATATTGACAAAAAAATCATGTCAGTATGTGCTACTGCTATCGGTGCCTAATGATTTCTCATGCCAACCCAAATTGGCCTGATTCTAGCTTGCACAGCCGTCTCTGAAACACTTTCAGCCCCATCCGCCTGTGCTCATCGTCGTGTAAGATGACTCCCATCACTCCCTTCTTGGTCACCCCTCCGCCAAGCAGCAGCATACATGCAATCCGGCGATTGAATGCTCGAAGTGACGTAGTCCTCCATGCGGCCATCCAGGAATCCTCTGCCACTCGCACTCTCCACATCCACCGGCTCCCGCAGCAGGCGGGTGAGCAGGCGGTAGCGCAGCGACCGCACCTGGCAGGACGTCTCGCTGCGGAAGGTCTGGCCCAACACGCCGTGAATGCCCTCCGTGTGCTGGTGGGGGGGGAGGGGAGGGAGGGGGAGGGCGAGTGAAGGAGCATGGTGAGTTGGCCAGATGAGCAGGCCGTAGTGCCGCGAGCACACCTGGCGGGACGACTCGCTGCTCAAGGCATGGACACGGCAGCGCACGCGGTTAGACAGAGCTCTCGTTCGCGATAGCGTGGTAGCATGGTAGCATGATGGCTTGGCATTGCTTACATTGAGCTGCACTGTGTGCACATTCAAGTGCGCCTGCGCATCCGTCGCAGTCTGCATTAAGCGGCCTGTGAGTCAAAAGTTATAAAAGAGAGTGCAGCATGACAGCTATGGGAACTTACGTTGAGCTGCACTATGTGCACGTTGAAGTGTGCTTGCGCCTCCGCCACAGTCTGCATGAGCGGGTGCGCCACGCGCGCCACGACTCCCATATCCAGCACTCCCTCCACTGTCAACCGAAACTCGTCCTCAACCCTCCAAGCTCCGCCCCTTGACTCCACCAGGAGCAGCTTGAAGCCACCAGTGCCAGATACGAAGGAGCCTGCGGCCATGGGGGGTGTCACCGCCTGCCCGTCGATTTCCATTTGGTCGATGAAGCCAGAGGTGCCCCTCCCCTGCTCCGTGCCGTCCCGTGCCTTGAGGAACGCCGAGTGCTGCGCACCGAGCGCATCACGCCACATCACCTGCAGCTCCCTGGCACGCGGCGGAGGGAAAACAGAAGGGAAAAGGGAGAGGAGAATGCGCATGTGTGGAAAGCCTGTCAAGTGGGGGGTTGGAAGCAACCCAGCTACTTAAATAAACTGTTGTCATTTCTAGCTGAAATGCAGCAAGCATATAACTGATATGGCGCATACCTGATCCAGCTACGAATCGGCTTCCCTTTCAGCAGCCTCGCTTTCAGCTCGTGCGTTGCATACTGAATAGATTCCTGCTCGTCAGAAGCCCGAGCTTGACCCTCGCTCCCCGCCGCATTCCCGTCAACCACTCCGATGCCCCGCAGCCTCCGCACCTCCCGCTCGAGCGCCGCCACCACTTGATTGGTCAACGGGATGCTCCCATTCACCCCCATATGCACCAACCCCATCACCTCCTCCCGAGTCAACCTATCCTTCTCCAGCTCCTTAACATGACGTGGCTTCGACTCTTTCGTCGCCGCGTCCAGCGCTGCGGCGAGCGAGTCGTCATCCAGTGACGTGGCGGTGCCTGGGAGGTTGGCAATGGGACGGTAGCCGTTGATCCCCATGTTGATGTGGATCCGACGGTCGGAGAGCAGGCAGAAGGAGCGGCCGAGCAGCCCGTTGAAGTCGAAGCGCGTGCCGTCAGCGCCGTGGAAATGCGGGTCGCCGTTGGTGTTAGCGAGCGGGTTACACTTCCCGCCAATGTTCGACGCGTCAACTTTTTTGTCCGAGTTCGCGGTGGTTACTCCCACCAGCGACCTCAGCAGATTGCATGTGCCCGTGTTGCCATTCCTGCCCGGACAAAAAACGTGGCAGGAACGACGAAGAATGACGGATGCGAGGTTGGACGAGTGAAAGAGGCGTTTCAAAAGGAAAACACCGTGACGATTCGTGATTCTCGGTTAGCAGCAGTACTAAAGAGGCTGGGAAGAATAAAGTCAAACATCAAAACTCGTCTGAAACGCTTGGGATGGAGTGCGGCCGTATGACAGCAGCTGCTAGAAGTGGTAGTCGTGCCATATCGGTGCTTACGTCACGCTCAAGTGCCAGTATGTACAGTCGACCCTCTGTGCGCATAGTCATCACAAAAATGTGGATCTCTCCTATATTGTAGGTATAGTTGTTCGTATAGCAAGGCTACTCCGTAGCAGACGTACCTATGCCATACCTACTGTATACCTACTCCGTATTTCTGATCCTGGAATTTTGAGATGTAGCCGGCAGCAGTCCGACAGCGACGTGGTGCTCTGCATGACGGCGCACGACAGAAGAACGAGGGATCGTTACAGTTACGGCGACTTAGCGTGGTTGAAATGAGGCGACGAGGATGACACATGTGAATGAATCTGGATCATGGAGCTGCTGCTGAGATAGTAAAGAGTTTAAAGTGCAGACAGTAAACTTCGTACGAGCGCACGAGAAACCTTGAAATCTCCGAGTCAGACTCGTGCTAAAGGTTTGAGTGGTAAACAACAAACAGATGCCGCCTCCCGGAGGCGCGAAAGGAAAGTGGGAGAGGATTACGGAGGCGCGAAGGGAAAGTGGGAGAGGATTACGGAGGAGGCGAGGAATGTCACGCTCGCGTCGAAGGCGTAGCGCTCGTAGTTATAGTTGAAGGGTGTGGTTTGCGGCACGGACAGCGTGGTGCTTCCCGCGTTGGCGATGTAGTAGCCCTTGCGGAGATTGATGCAGTCGTAGCACCCGCGCAGGGGCAGCTGGTCAGTCGGCGCAGCTACAGCCGGGGAAGCTGCCGCGGAAAGCAGGGCGAGAAGACACAGGAGCCGCCGCGAAAAATCCGCGCCGGTGGCGCTGCTGCTGCCGAGCAGAATGGCGGAGGAACTTTCTGAGAACATTATCCGACTCGGAGGCGATTTGCGCTTTCCGCGACCCGTCGTTGGGTTTGAGCGTCGGAGCCAGGACATGGTGGCGATGGTCGGGTGAAATGACGAAGACGTGCGAATTACGGCGACAGAGAGTTACAGCCAGGGTTTCAAGCAATGGGTTGGTGCGTGGAGGGCTATTCACGAAGCAAGTAGTAGTTGCTTGAGTGAGATTTTCAGAAGATAATGCCAACCAGTGGTTGTGCTGCGAGCTTTGTGACTGGTGCTGCGTGGTGAAGTAGTAAGCGCGCGGGGATGGGGACATCAGGAAGGATAGTTGGGTTGAAAGCCGGATTAGAATGGCCGAGCCGCACATTTCCAAGTCGATGGCTTGATTCATAGGCCAGCTCCAGTGACTGCCTGCCGTGGCAGATTGCCAAATTGAGCCACGTCAGCCTAGACGATGGTGACAAAAGTCAGTCGGGGTCCTCGGAAAATTTGTCAAGGGCTTGACAGTACGAATCAGTTACATTGAGCCACGTCAGCTCGTAGTCAAGCTGCATTCCCCAGTTGGGGAAGATCCCAAAACATTCTCGTCGTCGAGAATGCCAAATCAAGGGAAATTATAAAAAAGGGTCCTCGCTTTGCCAGAGTCGCGAGCAAAAAAGGTCCGGCTATTTTCTGGGGAAATTATACGCTGGGTAAGTCTTACTCTTCATTTCCCGATTTAGTCACTCTTTTCTCATCTCGGTCAATGTTTTATCGAGTCGAAATCAGCAGCGTCAAACGTTTTGCTCAGTTTGATGCCGCATGGCAAAATCTTTCGACACGTGTCCCAGAAATGCGATGTCTCAAAGATGAGAAAATAGTGACTGAATCGGGGAAACAAAAAGTAAGAGTACCCAGCGTATAATTTCCCTATTTTCTGCTCCAGAGCCCCTGTCGACCTTTTGTCCAATGGGATGGACAGAGGAAGATTTACCCCCACGTGTTGTGTCACAAGAAGCAAAACAGAAGCCGTACGGAAAGAAGCAGCACATCACAGCATACAGTACGATAGAGTAGAGTACAGTACAGTACAGGAAATGTTTAAACAAGCCCCATCCGGCATGTGGCAGGAATGACCTCAAATAGATCCTCCTATCGGGTCAAGCGACCAATCACGTCAGCTCGTTCGAGGTGCCAGTCTACGGATTGAATGGCAAACGACCTGATGAGATCCAGGTGAGTGTCTACACCGAAGGCCACAATACAAAACAACGGAAGGGAAAAAATCATCTTGCATGTTATTGCTCATTTTCGACATGAGTATTATGGCCTTCAATCTGTCGCAATGCCTCGTACACTCCCACTCCTGCAGACACTGCAAGGTTCAAAGAGCGAACATATGTTTCGTCTATTGGAATGCGCGCAACCCCCCCTGCATGCGGCCGTGCCGAACACTCTGTGATTGCCTCAGGGGGCAGGCCAAACGTTTCAGCTCCAAACAACAGCCAATCACCGGGCTGATAATGAATGTTCTGCAGATGAAAGAAAGGCAAATTGTATTATTAATTACCCAAACAATATACCGGTATGGATCACGAGAGAGGAGAGGGCAATGGGAGGGGAATATACAAAAGGCAACGAGAGGGTGACAAAAAGAAACAGCAGTTTCAATTGCCAGGCATCGAGTCCATGAGACATGTTCCTTTCCTTTCACAACCCCCCACTGTCCTCTCGCTCACCAGCTTCTCCCTCCCCCCAACCCCCCCATTCCCATAAGCCCACCGCCGTTACAGTCACATCTCACATGGTGGGGCACAGAGCCTCGTTTGGAGAAGGCAATTAGCCGCTTCGGCTCCGGCTGCATGCAGAGAAGGGGAGGGAGGGAGGAGAGGGGGGGGGAGGGGGAGGGATTTTGAGTTGACTCAAAAGCAGGCTACGGCTGCATGCAGAGAAGGGGAGGGAGGTAGGGGAGAGAGGGGGGGGGGGCGGGGGGCATTGCGGACGGGTGTCGGGCGAAATGGAGGCGATACTATGGTGTTGACGTCAAAAGTGGCTAATTGCAGGAGGTACAACTACTTGGTCTCAAAGAAGAAAAAGGCACAGCAAGGAAGCGATGGATGGAACAATGCTTTTTCAGGAGTCATCCATGAAACGCGTGACTTCACCTCCTGCTGAAAATACTCCATGAATGCGCCCCAGCTCTCATGCACCTTCATCACCACATACGGCCAGTAGTCCAGCACGCACGCTGGGTAAAAAGTCTGTTGGAATCAAACCATAGGGCTGAACACTCACCTGCTGCTGGAAATACTCCATGAAAGAGCCCCAGCCCTCGTGCACGTTCACCACCACATACGGCCAGTAGTCCAGCCCCGCCCGCTTGAGCTTTGAGTCTGTGATGTCAAACCCCAAGGGCTGCAGGGATTGGAGGGCACGGGATTCTGTGTAAGGGGACACTTGAGCCGACCCAAAAGTCACCTCCCGCCCGGCTCGCTTGAGCTTCGAGTCCGTGATGTCAAACCCAGGGGCTGATGGGGATCTCATTAAGGTGGCTCTTAGTTTGACTCAAAAGTCATCTCCTGCCTGCCCAAGTCCATGAAGTCAAACCCAGGGGTTGATGGGATAACAGGCAAGGGGATCTCATGTGACAGATTTAGAGTTGACTCGAAACTCGAAACTCTCCTCCAACCCGTCCGCCTGAGATTGGAGTTGGTGATGTCGAACCCCAGGGGCTGATGGGGATAGGGAGCAAAGGACTTCCATGAAGAATGGAAGGAGCTGGCGCTTGGAGGACGGCTGGCGTGGAAGCAGAGGCAGTGCAGACGGCAGCGGGCACTAACTGCGACAGCGCAGCAGCGGCAGCGGCAGCGGCAGCAGCGGTGGCGACGGCGGCGGCGGCGGCGGCAGCGGCAGCAGCAGTAGCAGGAGAACTTCCTCTTTCCCCAAGCCAGACCTCCTCTCATTGCCCCATCCAAGCATGCACACACCTTCACCAGATGCAGTGGAACGGCCGTGGCAGCACATGTGCGCGCAATGGAGCCGGTATTGCCAGGAATCTGCAGGGAGGGGCGGTTGAAGGGGGGGGGGGAAGGGGTGGATTAGGATAGCGTGTCACCACTTGTGCAGCACAAGTGCGCGCAATGGAACCCATATTGCCGGAGATCTAGGGTGTGGGCGGGGGAGGGGAAGGGTTGGGTTGGGGTAGGTGGGGGGGGAAGTTGTGGGGAAGGGTGGGTGGGGGGGGGGGGGGGGGGGGGGGGTGGGGAGAGGTGGTAAGAATGGCGAGTTGCCAGGCAGGCACGAGTGTGAAGGTAAATGAAGACACGCGTGTGGGCGCGTCCGCATGAAGATATGCGTGCAATGGTGCATGGAACAAACCAATCACACGGGGATAGCGCGAGCCAATCACACGGGGATAGCGCGAGCCAATCACACGGGGATAGCGCGAGCCAATCACACGGGGATAGCGCGAGCCAATCACCTGCGGACACACAAGCACCACGTTCAGCGGCTTTTTCACTTGACCGCTCCGCATCTCATCTCCTCCTGCCTCCGCCTCTCCTCCTTCCCCACCCACTCCTTCCTTGGACCCCTCACCCTCCAACCCGCCGCCCACAGAATCACTTCTAGCATAGTAATTCGAGTTACTCTCGTTACTATCACTTCCCTCCAGCCCGATTCCTGCTCGTTCCAGGCTCCACCGCTCCTCGCCCGAATTCGCCCCTGCATAAACCCGGAACCCTCGCCGCGCCTCTCTGACCCCTCGGCCATCCTCACCCGCTCGCGTCTCCTGCTGCTGCTGCGGCTGCTGCTCTTGCCTCCTCGATGTCCACAAAACCCAAGGTGCACGAGCCCTAATCGGCTCTGAGTCGAGACCCCGCCGTGCATGTGAATCTAATCGCTGATAGATAGCGCCAAAACACGCGCAGCGGGAGTCCGCGCGGTGATTGGCGCGGAATAGTACTGCGCGGGCTTTGCGCTCTGTAGCGGTATGGGCGGACGCGGGAAGTTGCCGCGTGCTGTGCGATTGCGCGGCGCGGGGAGTTAGCGCAATGGCGCGCGGCTGCGCAGTGCGGGAAGTGAACCAAGGGATTGCCGATGAGCGCGCAGCAGCAGCTATTTCAACTGAGGCGCCTGCGGGGAGGATGGCCCGAGCGGGCATGGCGGAGCGCTTTCCCGCGCCGTGAGTTCCGCGCGCAACCTGCGGGACTTTCGGGTGCGGGGAATTGCGCGGGAGAACGATGCGAGCGCGAAGCATGGCGGCCGGAAGAGTCGGGCGGTCGCAGCCTCACTAGCAGCGGCGGAAGCGATTCCGACTCGGAGCGTGACGTATGGCGCAAGGACGGGCACATGCGTCGGTTGAGGACTCCAAGCCACAGCAAGCGGCTGACTGGCGGAGGCACGCGGTGGGAAACCTCGATACCAAGAGCAGCGATAACAACACCGTTGTTTAGGATAGACAGAGCAGGCTCTAAACCCTTAGGCACTTCTTTCAATGAAATCCGCAAGGAGTAGTGCTTTATTTCTGTCGTTAGTGTTCTATAACTCCTGGAAAATAAAATGTTCACCTCTCAATCGTCATCATTGTCATAATCCTTCTCATCATCGTCGGATTCCAGGTCATAGCTGAGGGCAGCGATGACGTGGCGCGTCGTGGGCAGGGCCTCACTGACACGTGGCAAATGCCAGGGTGAAGGCGCAACCTTCCTGTAGAACCACGGCGACACCGAGTCATTGAAGTGCTTAAAACGGGGATTTAGTATCGCCTCCCAGTCCACCTGGGTGACACGGGGAAGGGAGGAGAGGGGATCGGGTGGGGGATGTGAAGAGGGGCAACACAGGAGGGTAAATGAGTGAGCAACCTCCAAAGCAAGGCAGGGGAAGGCGTGAGGTGAGGTGAGGAATAACCGGATCATTTCCCCAGTCACCGCTTTCTAAGATTGGGAGTGAATGTGCTCCTCACTCCACCTGGGCTGTAGGAAAGAGCAGGTCACAAGGAGGAAGGGCATCGGGAGCGGGGAACAGGGAGGGGCTGTGGGGCAACCTAGGGCAATCCAGAAAAGGGCAGAAACTAAGAAAGCGCAACAAAAGGGGTGCACGGGGAAACCCCATGAGGGGGTGTGCAAGGGGAAAGGGAAATGAGGACACACATAATTAGAGGACACATAATTAGAGGACACACATGAGTAAAGGACACATAATTAGAGGACACACATGATTAAAGGACACATAATTAGAGGAGACACATTATTAGAGGACACATAATTAGAGGGCACACATAATTAGAGGACACATAATTAGAGGACACACAATTAGAGGACACACATAATTAGAGGACACACATGATTAAAGGACACATAATTAGAGGACACATAATTAGAGGACACACATGATTAAAGGACACATAATTAGAGGACACATAATTAGAGGACACACATAATTAGAGGACACACATAAGTAGAGGACACATAATTAGAGGACACATAATTAGAGGACACACATAATTAGAGGACACATAATTAGAGGACACACATGAGTAAAGGACACATAATTAGAGGACACACATGATTAAAGGACACATAATTAGAGGACACACATTATTAGAGGACACATAATTAGAGGGCACACATAATTAGAGGACACATAATTAGAGGACACACAATTAGAGGACACACATAATTAGAGGACACACATGATTAAAGGACACATAATTAGAGGACACATAATTAGAGGACACACATGATTAAAGGACACATAATTAGAGGACACATAATTAGAGGACACACATAATTAGAGGACACACATAAGTAGAGGACACATAATTAGAGGACACATAATTAGAGGACACACATAATTAGAGGACACATAATTAGAGGACACATAATTAGAGGACACATAATTAGAGGACACACATAATTAGAGAACACATAATTAGAGGACACACATAATTAGAGGACACATAATTAGAGGACACACATAATTAGAGGACACATAATTAGAGGACACACATAATTAGAGGACACATAATTAGAGGACACACATAAGTAGAGGACACATAATTAGAGGACACATAATTAGAGGACACATAATTAGAGGACACATAATTAGAGGACACATAATTAGAGGACACACATAATTAGAGGACACACATAATTAGAGGACACACATAATTAGAGGACACACATTTAGAGGACACATAATTAGAGGACACATAATAAGAGGACATACATAATTAGAGGACACACATAATAAGAGGACACATAATTAGAGGACACACATAACATAATTAGAGGACACACATAAGTAGAGGACACATAATTAGAGGACACACATAATTAGAGGACACATAATTAGAGGACACACATAATTAGAGGACACACATAATTAGAGCCCCAGGATGGAGATGATCAACTTAATGGTAGAGCCTCGAGTGAGCGGCGTGAACTGGTACCAGGAGTACCCCACCCTCAGCAACCCTTCTTGCACACACCACATGCCCCTGCCGCTTCCCCACACACCACATGCCCCTGCCACCCCCCCACACACCACATGCCCCTGCCACCTCCCCACAGACCATGGCACTTCTTCACACACCTGGGTGTCCTTGGGAATGAGCGAGAGGGTCTCCATGTCAGCAGCGAGCGACAGCCCGAGGATGGAGATGATCCCCACCATGGCGGAGCCCCGTGTGAGCGGCATGAACTGGTACCAGTAGTACCCCATGCGCAGCACACCCTCGCGCACGCGCTGCCGGTACAGGTGTATGTCGGTGGCGCGCGTGCGCGTGTCCGCGGCGGCCAGACTGAGCTCCTCCCACGTCTTCTGCAGCTCCTGGAAGAACTCAGCGCTGCGCTCGGGCGTCACCGCTGTGCGGATTGTGAAGTCGTAGGAACCTGGGGAGGAGAGGAAGGATAGTGGGAAAGCAGGGTGAATGCTTAGACTGGTGCATAAAACGGGAAAGCAGGGTGGCAAAAAAAAGAGAAAAAAGCCACAACAACAACAAAGGAGGGGGGGGGAGTGAGGTTACAGCAGGAGGCGGTGCCCATACCTGATGATTCCACAAGAGTGAGCTGTGTGCCGTTCATGATGCGCCCGGGGAATGCCTCGCTGTAGCACTGCGTGGTCACGTAGAAGTTCTCCCCCACCGACCGGTGCAGATCCCCAAAGTCCCGAGCCGCCTCAATTGCCCGCCCGTGCACGCGCCGCGGCACTGGAAGTGGCCAGTTGGTGGCATTGGACGCCATTTCGGTCTCTAGGAGCACCGAGCGCATGACCTCAAACGCCCAGTCCTGAAACGGGTAGTACTTTAGGTTGTGCATCTGCCCTACTCGCATGGCTGTGATTGTACCGAAGCCCCTGGGGTACTCGTTTTTGAGCTGGTCGATCCACGTGATTGTATCGCAGGGCTCCGCGTGCTGCCTCCACCGGATGATCCCATCGAACATGTCCCGCCACCCGCTGATCAGCTTTGCACCGTCGGATCGGCCTGGTGATCTGGCAGGCTTATCCCGGCCGTTGGATCTCTTTGCTCCCCCTGATGACGAATGGAGTGACACTCTGGGTGTTTTTCGTCTGCTTCCTCTTTGTCCTCCTCTCCCAGTTGCCCTCCTCCCCCTGCCTCTCCTTCCTCTCCCACCCCTTTCGCTGCTACCATTATCAGTTTCACTATCAATATCCGTATTATCACTAGAGGCAACATCATCCCCATCATTGCCATCAGCCGCACTATCATCAGCCCCCCCCCTCTCCCCTGCTTCGTCCGCTCCTAGTCCACCCCCTTCACCCTCCCCTTCCCCATCCGCCCGCCTTTGTTCCTCAATCATCTGCTGCCACGTGGCATTCACTCTTTGCATGAGGTCCAGGGCGGCAAGCCCCGCCATGCGGTGTTGTCTCTTGTGCGGCATGAAGCCATCCACAAAGTACTGCGTGCGCCGGCCAATTTCGTCCGCCTTGGCGATAAGTGCGCGCACTTGGGGGGAGAAGCGGATTCGAGGGGGGTTGCGGGGGAGGCGCACGGGGAGGGGACGGTATGTGGGGAGGATGGTGAGGGGCGACTGCTTCCGCACCCATGCTTCCTGGTGGGGGGAAGGTGCATGTGGGGGAAGGGAAGGGGATTTGCAAGGGGCCTCAAATGATGCCTGCCAAGCGACCAGAGCACGCACTTGGGGGGAGAAGCTGTTGGCGAAGTTTTGTTTTGGCAAATGGATTCGGAAATGGCACTGGCGAATGGTTTTGCCGAACGGTTTTGACGGAAAGTTTTGGCGAATGGTTTTCGCGAATGGTATTGACGATTGGTATTGGCGAATGGTTTTCGCGAATGGTTTTTTGGCGAATGGTTTTTTGGCGGATGGTTTTGGCGAATAGTTTTGGCGAATGGATTTGGCGAATGGTTTTGGCGAAAGGTTCTTGGCGAAAGGTTTTTGCATAAGGTTTTGGCGAAAGGTTTTTGCGAAAGGTTTTAACGAATGGTTTTGGCGAATGGCGCTGGCGAATAGGTTTTGGCGAATGGTTTTGTCAAATGGTTTTGGTGAAAGGTTTTGGCGAATGGTTTGGCGAAAGGTTTTGGCAAAAGTTTTGGCGAAAGTTTTTGGCGAATGGTTCTGACGAATGGTTTTGGCGAATAGGTTTTCGCGAATGGTTTTGGCGAATGGTTCTGGCAAATGGTTCTGGCGAAAGGTTTTGGAGAAAGGATTTGGCGAAATGTTTTGGCGAAACGTTTTGGTGAAAGGTTTTGGCGAATAGTTTTGGCGAATGGTTTTGGCGAATAGGTTTTGGCGAATGGTTCTAGCGGTTGATTTAGGCGGAAGGTGTTGGCGAAACGTTTTGGCGAAATGTTTTGGCGAATGGTTTTGGTGAATGGTTTTGGCGAAAGGTTTTGGCGAAAGGTTTTGGTGAATGGTTTTGGCAGATAGTTTTGGCGAAATGTTTTGGGAATAGGTTTTGGCGAAAACTTTTGGCGATTGGTTTTGGCGGAAGGTTCTTGGCGAAAGGTTTTGGCGAAAGGTTTTGGCGAATGGTTTTGGCGAATAGGTTTTGGCGAAAGGTTTGGGCGATTGGTTTTGGCGAATGGTTTTGGCAAATGCTTATGGTGAAAGGTTTTGGCGAATGGTTTTGGTGAATGGCTTTTGCAAAACGTTTTGGCAAAAAGTTTTGGCGAAAGGATTTGGCGAATGGTTTTGGCGAATGGTTTGACGAATAGGTTTTGGTGCAATGGTTTTGGCGAAAAGTTTTGGCAAAAGGTTTTGGCGAAAGGTTTTGGCGAATGGTTTTGACAAATAGTTTTGGCGAATGGTTTTGGCATATCGATTTGGCGAATGGTTTTGGCGAATGGTTTTGACGAATGGTTTTGGCGAAACGTTTTGGGGAAACGTTTTGGCGAAAGGTTTTGGCGAATGGATTTGGCAAATGGTTTTGGTGAATGGTTTGGCAAATAGGTTTTGGCGAATGGTTTTGGTGAATGGTTTTGGCGAAAGGATTTGGCGAATGTTCTGGCAAACGGTTTTGGCGAATGGTTTGACAAATAGGTTGTGGCGAAACGTTCTCGCGAAACGTTTTGGTGAAAGGTTTTGGCGAATGGTTTTGGCGAATGGTTTGGCAAGTAGGTTTTGGCGAATGGTTTTGGCGATTGGTTTTGGCGAATAGGTTGTGGCAAATGGTTTTGGCGAATGGTTCTGCAATGGTTCTGGCGATTGGTTTTGGCGGAAGGTTTTGGCGAAACTGTTTGGCGAAAGGTTTTGGCGAATGGTTTTGGCAAAATGTTTTGGCGAATGGTTTTGGCGAAAGGTTTTGGCGAAAGGTTTTGGTGAATGGTTTTGGCAAATGGTTTTGGCGAAATGGTTTTGCCGAATGGTTTTGGCAAATGGTTTTGAAGAATGTTTTTGGCGAAATGTTTTGGCAAAAGGTTTTGGCGAAAACTTTTGGTGATTGGTTTTGGCGAATAGTTCTGGAGAATGGTTCTTGGCGAAAGGTTTTGGCGAATGGTTTTGGCAAATGGTTTTGACGAAAGGTTTGGCGAATGTTTTTGGCGAAAGGTTTTGACGAATGGTGTTGGCGAAAGGTTTTAGCAAAAGGTTTTGGCGAAAGGTTGTGGCGAAAGGTTTTGGCGATTGGTTTTGCCGGAAGGTTCTTGGCGAAAGGTTTTGGCGAATGGTTTTGGCGAATAGGTTTTGGCGAATGGTTTTGGCGAAAGGTTTTGGCGAAAGGTTTGGGCGATTGGTTTTGGCGGAAGGTTCTTGGCGAAATGTTTTGGCGAATGGTTTTGGAGAATGGTTTTGGCAAATGGTTTTGGCGAATAGGTTTTGGCGAATGGTTATGGTGAAAGGTATTGGTGAATGGCTTTGGTGAATGGCTTCGACGTAACGTTTTGGCGAAAGGTTTTGGCGAATGGTTTGACGAATAGGTAATGGTGCAATGGTTCTGGCGAAAGGTTTTGCCGAAAGGTTTTGGCAAATGGTTTTGGCGGATGGATTTGGCGAATGGATTTGGCGAATGGATTTGGCGAATGGTTTTGGCGAATGGTTTGGCGAATGGTTTTGGCAAATGGTTTGACGAATACGTTTTGGCGAAACGTTTTGGTGAAAAGGTTTTGGCGAATAGGTTTTGGCCAATGGTTTTGACGAAAGGATTTGGCAAAAGGTTTTGGCAAAAGGTTTTGGCGATTGGTTTTGGCAAAAGGTTCTGGCGAATGGGCTTGGCGAATGGTTTTGGCGAATAGTTTTTTACGAAAGGTTTTGGCGAATGGTTTTGGCGAATGCTTTTAGCGAATAGGTTTTGGCGAATGGTTCTGGCGATGGTTCTGGCGGTTGATTTTTGCACAAGGTGTTGGCGAAACTGTTTGGCGAAAGGATTTGACGAATAGTTTTGGGAAATGTTTTGGCGAATGATTTTGGCGAATGGTTTTGGCTTATGGTTGTGGCGAATGGTTATGGTGATGGTTTTGGCGAATGGTTATGGCTAATGGTTGTGGCGAAAGGTTTTGGCGAATGGGTTTTGCGAATAGTTTTGGCAAATTGTTTTGGCGATTGGTTATGGCGAATGAGTTCTGCGAATGGTTTTGGCGAATGGTTGTGGCGAATGTTTTGGTGAAGTGTTCGGCAAACGGTTTTGGCGAATGGAGAAGGATGGGGGGGGAGAGGGTTGCGTGGATGGAAACCCCTCTGCTTGAGACTCCATGTCGATGACAGTGTGTATCTTCGTGCTGGCAAGGAGTGCACCTGGCGACATTCTGAGTGGCAGTGTTGCCTGAACATTATGCGCGGAGAAGTTTATGCACTTGGGTGCCTGTGTGTTGTCCATGTGTTGTCTATGTGCACCTCGAGGTCGTTGTTGAGGCAGAAGTGTGGGAAGGGCAGGTCGAGCATACACCGCGAGTGAGTGACGGCGGTACACATACCTGAGGCAATCAGTTGTCGGGCACCAAGAAAGCAGCGCACCTTGAGATCGTTTTCCAGCTCGTAGTCGAGGCAGAAGTCTGGGAAGGGCAGGTCAAGTTTAACGCTGCAGTGAGTGACAATGTTTGTCGTTTTTGTGGGCACTGGGCAAGCAACGCACCTTGAGGTTGTTGTCGAGTTCGTAGTCCAGGCAAAAGTGTGTGAAGGGCAGGTCAATCTGAATGCTGCGAGTGAGTGACAGTGACAGTTAGACATACCTTGACGCTAGTAGTGGGTGGGCACTGAGCGAGTACTTCTCTGTGCGGGCTAGAAGTGCACCTTGAGGTCGTTGTCGAGCTCGTAGTCGAGGCGGAAGTGCGTGAAGGGCAGGTCCAGCTTGGCTACCGTGTAGGCGGCGATCTCCCTCTGATGGATGATGCGAGGAGAGGCAGATAACATGAGAGGCAGATAACATGAGAGGCAGATAACATGAGAGGCAGATAACATGAGAGGCATGAGAGGCATTTAACAGGAACGGTAGATAACAGGAGAGGTAGATAACAGGAGGGGTAGGTAACAGGAGAGGCAGATAAAAGGAGGGGTAAATAACAGGAGGGGTAGATTTCAGGAGGCATAGAGGGGTTTTGGGGCAAAGGGGTTTCTGGGAGAGGAGGGAAGAGAAGAGGAGGGGAGAGAAGGGACGAGGAGGTCTGAGAGCAAGGTCCAGCTAGGGCAATGTGTGGAACACGTCAGCAAGGGAAGAGGGGACAAAGGGAGGAGTGAAAGCAAGAGGGCAGGTGTGAGAGAAAGAGTGCACAGCACAGCACCGCACGACATCGCACAGCACAGCACAGCACAGTACCGCACCTGGTAGAATGCCATGCCCTGGAGAGTGCCGGTGTTGCTGTCTGTGGGTGAGAAGCCAAGGATGCGGGAATACTGGACCAGCTGCGGAATGGCAGGGGTCAGGGAGGGGGGTGGAAAAACTGAGGCGTGAGAAGGTGATGGAGAGATCACACAAAACACTGAAGCCAGCAATAGGATGACACCTTTTGTCAAGAAGCGTGCCTTGCGAAGGAGAATTATCCAAGGAGGAAGCACCTTGAGAAGGCACGTTGAAGATAACGGGCTTTGGGCTGAGCAGCAAGGCTGAGAGCACTCACAGCTGCCTCAAAGTCGCCCAGCGCATGGTGCGCAGAAGCTTCCAGGTAGTTGAGCTCAATGTCGTCGGGGCTGAGCTTCAGGCCCCTGCGCGCCGTGTTGATCACCTCCCTGCAGTCAACGGGGGTCAACGGGAGTCAACAGGAGTGCTGATAACCTCCCTGCGATCAACTGGGATCAACGGGGGTCAACAGGAGTGCTGATCACCTCCCTGCGGTCAACGGGGGTCAACGGGAGTCAACAGGAGTGCTGATCACCTCCCTGTGGTCAACCGGGGTCAATGGGAGTCAACAGGAGTGCTGATCACCTCCCTGTGGTCAACCGGGGTCAAAAGGAGTCAACAGGAGTGCTGATCACCTCCCTGTGGTCAACGGGGGTCAAAGGGAGTCAACAGGAGTGCTGATCACCTCCCTGCGGTCAACGGGGGTCAAAGGGAGTCAACAGGAGTGCTGATCACCTCCCTGCGGTCAACGGGGGTCAAAGGGAGTCAACAGGAGTGCTGATCACCTCCCTGCGGTCAACCGGTGTCAAAGGGAGTCAACAGGAGTGCTGATCACCTCCCTGCGGTCAAAAGCAGTAAATAGATTGACAGCGCTCATCAATTTCTGAGCCAGGCGTGACTGACTCAGGTGTGACCTCGTCTATGTAGACCAGCCGTCTTACAACAAGCCCTCTATGTGCTGCATCATCCCATCGACTCATATAAAACACCCTGCAGCTGCGGAATCGCCCACCGCCCACTTCCCACTGCCCACTGGCCACGGCCCACCGTCCACCGCCACCGGCGACCGGCGTCCGGAGCCCGGCGTCCGGTGACTGGCGACAGGCGACCGTCTACCATCTCCCATCTGATGTCTTCCGTCTTCAGTCTACCGTCTGCTGTCTACTGTCTACCCAAGGACTCACCTGTGGCGGCCCACCAGCTGCATGAGGGATGTGAGGCGTATGTACGCCTCAAGAGTGCTGGGGAGAGGGAGGGGGGAGGGGGGGGCAGGAGGGGTGTTAGCGTAAGGTGAGAAGGAAGGGAAGAGAGCGAAAATAGTTTTAGCTGCATGAGGGACGTGAGGCGGATTGGATGTATGCACCGAGAGTGCTGCGCGGGGGGAGGAGGAGGGGGGAGGGGAGGAGGTACAGTGAACAGCAAGTAGAGTGTGAATGGGAGAAGCAGTGGAAGAGGCGAGGAGGATGTATGCCTCGAGAGTGCTGGGGGGGGGGGAAGAAAGGGAGACAGGAAGTAGTGTGAGTATGAAAGGCAGAGAGGGTAACTGATTCCATTTGCATGAGAGATGTGAGGCGGTGCTGAACCTTTCAACTCCCGCCTCCAGTGCTAGTGCTTTGTGCAGCGCAGCTGAGCCCAGTCCATCCCCCCCCAGCCTCCTTGTGCACGCGGCCCTTCTCCTATCTTATGGCACGCACTCACTCTTCCACTGCCAGCACTCACTCTTTCCACTACCAACGCTTTGTGCAGCGTGGCCAGAGCCAGGTCCACCCCCCCCAGCTCCTTGCGCATGCTAATCTTGGCCCCTGTACTATCTTCTAAGAGGCACTCACTCCTCCAAAGCCAGCGCCTTGTGCAATGCCGCCAGGGCCAGGTCCACTGTCCACCTCCCCCAGCTCCTTGTGCACGCAGTGCATTCAGCCCCTCTGCATTCCAAATCAACCCCTCTGCACTCAGCCCTTAACCTGCACTCACTCCTCCAGAGCCAAAGCCTTGTGCAATGCCGCCAGGGCGAGGTCCACCTCCCCCAGCTCCTTGTGCACGCGGCCCTTCTCCGTCCACAGGTTGGCGGACATGGGGTGCCGCTTCACCGCCTCCGCAAACACAGCGCTTGCATTGCGCCACTGGCCCGAGCCCGCCAAGGCTATGCCCTAACAAAAAAACGGGAGGGGAAAAGGGGGGGGGATGGTGGGGCTGGGGCAGGGCTTCACTCAGCTCCAGAATCCTTTCTTGTCCACATTTAGGTAGACATGGGGTGCCGCTTCACTGCATCGTCAAACATGCCGCTCGCTTTGCAGCAGTGGCCAGACTGCCAGGGCGATACCTTGAGCTGGTGGGGAAAGGGAAGGGGGGCGTGGCTTTGGGGTTGACTTGAAGGCCCTTCTCCGTTCACGGGGTGGCAGGGTACTAGCAGGTGCATCACTGCCTCCTGTAACACTCTGCAACGGCTGCGCCAACGCAAATCAAGACAAACCAGCGCAGGTCAACGCAGGTCAACACAGGTCACCACAGGTCAACGTATTTCACCTCAAGTTTAAGAGCAGTTGCGTGTGTGTGTGAGTATGGGTGTACCTTGGCGCGGATGAGGAAGGGGTCCATGGGGCGCAGCTCGAGCGCCTTGGAGAGGTCGGAGATGGCCATGCTGTAGAAGTGCAGGTGGAAGGCAATCGTGCCTGCAGTGAATAGTGGGATGGGAGTGGGGAGGAAGCCAGAACTGAGCATGCTGTCCCATGCTGCTCATCCCATGACAAACCGTGCCATGCCATGCCATGACATGCCATGCCATGTTACCTCACACCGCCCCTCTGCTGCAGGGCATCCAGGATGTCAAGTCCAATCTCTTGGCATTCATGCCGCACCATACCAGCCTGTCCGCGCCGGCCATGCCATCTGATCCCACGACAAATCGCCACACCGCCTCTGCGAGCTCACCTCTATTCTGCAGGGCGTCCAGGTGGTTGGGCTCTATCTCCAGCGCTCGACTGTAATCCTCCACAGCCTGGCATCACGTGCACAGATGAAGCAGCAACAGAGGGAAGGGAGAGCCCTTGGGTTCGACACACTAAAGTCCTCCACTGCCTAGCATAGATAAAGTAGCAACAGAGCAAGGGAAACGCCTCTCGGTTCGATCTCTACAAAAAAATATTCTATATTTTTACAAAAAAATACTGTATAGTAGACAAACATACTATAGAAAGTAGACAAAAAGCTTTTGTTCAAATGTTTGTGGAATTTTTGAAAAAAAAAATTGTTTTTTTCTAAATGAAAAAACATTTCTATATCTTACACAAAAAACATATTGCAATATGTAACATCTAATTAACGACACTATAGTACTATAGTGTATATAGGGGAGTATATACAATTTAATTACTAAATTAACATTATGCCTATTGGTGTTCCAAGGGTCCCTTTTCGTCTTCCTGGAGAAGAAGAGGCAGTTTGGGTAGACGTGTATAATCGATTGTATCGTGAAAGATTACTTTTTTTAGGTCAGAATGTAGATGATGAGATTGCTAATCAATTGATTGGTATTATGATGTATTTGAATGGAGAAGATGAAAGTAAGGATATGTTTATGTACATCAATTCTCCTGGTGGAGCAGTCTTGGCTGGAATTGCAGTATATGATGCTATGCAATTTGTAGTACCAGATGTGCATACTATCTGTATGGGCCTAGCAGCTTCTATGGGTTCTTTTATCTTAACTGGAGGAGAAATTACTAAACGTCTAGCCCTACCTCATGCTGATCCATCGCCGTTACTAAGGGCCTCAAATACGAAGGGGCTAATATACGAAGGGGCTAACATACGAAGGGGCTAACACCGGCGTCCACTGGTGGGTGGTGGACTGTGGACGGTGGATGGTGGACGGTGGGCGGTGGACGGCGTCCACCAGTTGGCGGTGGGCGGTGGACGGTGGACAGCTTCCATTGGTGGGTGGTGGGCGGTGGATGGTGGACGGCGTCCACCGGTGGGCGGTGGACGGTGGATGGTGGACGGTGGGCAGCGTCCACCGGTGGGCGGTGGACGGCGTCCACCGGTGGGCGGTGGTCGGTGGACAGCGTCCACCGGTGGGCTGTGGGCGGTGGGCGGTGGACGGTGGACGGTGGACGGCGTCCACTGGTGGGCAGTGGGCGGTGGACGGTGGATGGCGTCCACTGGTGGGCGGTGGACGGTGGACGGCGTCAACCGGTGGGCGGTGGACAGTGGATGGCGTCCACTGGTGGGCGGTGGGCGGTGGGCGGTGGACGGTGGACGGCGTCCACCGGTGGGCGGTGGACGGTAGACCGCGTCCACTGGTGGGCGGTGGACGGCGTCAACCGGTGGGCGGTGGATGGTGGACGCCGTCCACAGGTGGACGGTGGACGGTGGTCGGTGGACGGTGGACGGCGTCCACCGGTGGGCGGTGGACGGTGGACAGTGGACGGTGGACGGCGTCCACCAGTGGGCGGTGGGCGGCCGACGGTGGACGGTGGGCGGCGTCCACCGGTGGGCGATGGACGGAGGACGGTGTCCACCGGTGGGCAGCGGGCGGTGGACGGTGGACGGTGGGCAGTGGATGGTGGACGGCGTCCACCGGTGGGTGGTGGTGGACGGTGGATGGTGGACGGTGGATGGCATCCACCGGTGGGCGGCGGGCGGTGGACGGTGGACGGTGGACGGCGTCCACCGGTGGGCGGTGGATGGCCAAACATACGAACGGCCAAACATACGAACGGCCTAACATACGAACGGCCAAACATACGAACGGCCAAACATACGAGCGGCCAAACATACGAACGTCCAAACATACGAACGGCCAAACATACGAACGGCCAAACATACGAACGGCCAAACATACGAATGGCCTAACATACGAACGGCCAAACATACAAGCGGCCAAACATGCGAATGGCCAAACATACGAACGGCCAAACATACGGAGGACCCAGTACAAACTCACTGACTTCCTCTCCTTCCTCTCGATGTACAGCACCGCTCTGCACCTGTACAGCTCGGCACTTTTAGGGAAGCCACAGGCATGCACACGCAGAGAAGAGAACTCACCGCCTCCCTCTCGTTCCTCTCAATGTACAGCACTGCCCTGCGTCTGTACAGCTCGGCACTCTGAGGGTAGCGCCGAATGCCCTGTGGGAGCAGCCGGGGATGGAGAGGGTGAGGGAGAGGTGTATGTATGGGGTTATGATGGGAAGGAGGGGTTTTGAGTCGACCTGTCAACTCTGCCATCCCACAGGAAAGTGCTGGACATCGGATGAACTGAGGAAGCGGCAGGGAGATGGAGAGGTGAGAAAAGAGGAAGAGGAGGAGAGGGGTCTGAGGGGTGAGAGGAGTTTTGAGTAGACTCAAAAGCCAGCCCCAAAGTCGCCGGGTACCTTGAGCTTCCGACCGACCACGCGATGTGACCACGCGATGTGACCTAAAATGTGCTCCTCTCCTCACCACCCCTCATCTGACCTCAGTGGAGTCGTCCTCTGCACCGTCCGTGACATGCCATGGCCCATGGGTCACGGTTTATTGCACCATACGACCACCCCACAGCTGACCAACCTCAGTGAAGCCGTCCTCTGCATCGTCCAGCTGGCGCAGGAACAGGTGGCAGAGGGCACCTTGATCTTTCGACCGACCACGTGATGTGACCTACATGCACCACTCGTGAAGTCTCACCACCCCAGAAGGCAGCTGACCCACCTCTGTAAAGTCATCCTCCGCGTCGTCCAGCTGGCGCAGGAACAGGTGGCAGAGGCCCCTGCCTATGAACAGCTGGTCCGACATCTCACCCCCTTCCGCTTCCACCTGTGAGTGGGGGGAGAGCGAAGGGAGAGACTTAGAAAGGGGAGGGTGGAAGGTGATGTGAATCGAGAACCCCTTTCAATAAACAGCTGATTCGACACATCGCCTCCTTCTTCTAACTGTGGAGGCGCAAGGGAGAAGTGAATGTAGTGAAGCCTCGGAGCAGGGATAAGGTGAGGGACGAAAGGGAAGCGAGAAGAGACGAGCGTGGAGAGGGGGGAGGTGAAGGGGAGGAAGAGAAGGGGGGAAGATACGGGAGGCGGAGGGGCTGCGGCACGAGAAGGGGGGTACATGTAAGTGAAACGAAACCACTTTTAGCCGTACGTACGAGGTTGAAGAGCTTGATGAGGAAGAGATGGCGGAAGATAATGGATAAGGAATGGCATGGAGGAGCTGTCTGGGAAACAATACCCTTGTTTGTAGCAGTACGTACGAGGTTGAAGAGCTTGATGGCGTCGTTGAACTTCTTGGCTTGCATCTGAGCGAACGAGAGGGTGGTGGAGATGGGGGAGGAGATGGGGGAAGAGATGATTGTACGGTGGATTGGTGAGGAGTGAGAGGGGATGTAAAAGGATGTAAATGCATGCGGCAGAGAATGGGATGCACAGCAATGCAGGATGGCACGCTGTGGCATTCACCTGGTCGATTGTTGCACTCACCTGGCTGATGGCTGCTCGAATCAGCATCTCCTTGTTCATATGCCCCCCTTGCTTCTCCTTCTCGCGCCCTCCCCTCTTTTCCTTGCTCTTCTTCTCCCCCGCCCTGCCTCCAACCCCCTCAGCCCCATCAGCCTCATCAGCCCCATCACCTCCATCACCACCCTTCACGCCATCATCATCCCCATGCTCTCTCTTTCTCATACTCTGCATCTTCTGCTCCCCTGTTCCCCTCTGCTCCCCTGCCTCCTCCTGCTCCCTCTGCCCCAACGATCTCCCTTTCCTCAGAGATTTGCTCCTCTCCTCTTCCTCCTCCTCCTCCTTGTTCCGCCTGCTCTCTCCTTGTCCCTGTCGGTTGCTATCTCCTCCCCTGCTCTCTTCCTTTCGCCTCCCTTTCCCCGTCTCTTGACTCACCCCCTTCTTTAAGCCAGCATTGGCACCCTCCCCATTACCCGCCTCCCAAACAGATTCTGCTGCTTTTCTACCTGCTACTGCTGCAGACAACCCTTTTCCCACCGCATCCCTTCCCTCAGCCCCTGCCTGTCCTCCCTTTTTCTCAGTCATTGTCTGCGAGTCTCCCACCACTCCTCTGCGCCCCCCCTTCTCTCCCCTGCTCCGCCCCCCCCACCGCCTCCCCACCCCTTACTTCCCCCGTCCAGGTGCATCAACGCGCAAAGGTCGGTTCCCCCCAGCAGCAGCTTCCCCCCTCGCCCAGGGGACGGGGGATCGCAGGGGGAGGGAAGAGGAGCAAGGGGGGAAGGCGGAGGGAGGAGCTTGAACAGCCTGGTTCCTATTGGGGGGAAGGGAGGTGGGGGAGAGGAGGGGGGATAGGGAGATTGTGAGGGGTTGGGGTTTGGGTGATGGGAGAGGGAGGGGACTGGGGTGGGGAGGTGGTGACGTACCTTTTCTAATGAGTGGGAGAAGGCACGTGCGGATGCCCACGCGTTGGAGGTGGCGGCGTGCTTTGCTCCTCTGATTCGGCACTGATGCGATCAGGTGCGTTTCCCAATCACATAGATGGGGACTCCTGAACATGACGTGGCATGACGAGATGGTGGTATGGCATAATGGGGTGATGACATCACGATGACATGTCAACCAGACAACAAGGGAGACAGAACAGGGGAAATGGGGAAGGGTAAATGGGGAAGGGTAAATGGGGAAGGAGTGCAGGGGGAGGCTTTCTGGGAATTATAAAAAACAAGGGGTGCAGGGGGAAGGGAAATGGGGAGATGAGTGCAGGGGGGAGGGAGGGGGGGGGGGGGGAGGAAAGAGTGCAGGGGGGGGATATCAAGAGGCGCTGACGAGCGGAACCAGGACAGCGCCAATAGAAGCAAAGGGAACCTCAGGAGAAAAGCGCACCATGTGAGTTCCTGTAACGAGGGTAGCAACCCCTTCGCTCCATTGATCATCTCGTCCTCATCGCAGCTGCGCGCCGAGCTCGGCAGCACGAACCCCGCTGACGCTGCGGATTCCCCCTCCCTGCTGTTCGCATTCGCAATGTTGCTACTCGCGGGGGGAGGGAGGGTCGGTGCGGTATAGTGGCGCCCGTTGAAGACATTGCACAGGGTCAGGTTCAGCGACAGGCACACGAACGTCGCACGAATCGCACGAAGCGAAGGCGCCATCGCGGAGCGCCGTCTAGGAGCCTAAGCACTCAGTAAGCGTGTCGCAGTCTTATCCAGCGCCTAGAGACCGTCAAAAAGCGGCGACGGGTGACGGGAGGCGAGAGGAGGACCGCATTGGGGCAGATCGATGCGCGGATGAGGTGAGTCGCGCTCGACGAGCTCCCGAAATCGTTAGCCGAGAATCGTGACTGGCGAAATTGGATAAGAGCTTCACGGGCTTTCGATTCGACGCGATTCGACGACTTTAGCGCTAAGCCTTGCGACGAAGTACACTGGCTAACTCCTGAAGTCTCGTGATCAAGTCTGTTGCGACTCAGTCCTGCGACTAAGACGGTCTGCTGAAACGAAGTCCGCGACTAGGTCTGCTGCGACTGTATGCTGCGACGACGATCTCATTCTAGCCTGCATCCCATTCGGCTGCTGCACGACTGGACCGATGAGGCGAAGCAAAGTGGGGAACTGCAGTCCAGCCAACGGAAAGACGAGTGAATCGTGGGTGCGGTCCTGGGAGTACCGACAAAGTCAGCCTTGTCGCGCAGTCGGAAAAATCGCGTTGTACAGAAACTCGAAAGCAGTAATTGGGAACATTTTGGATGCTGGTCTCACCCACTTACATTTTTCTGGTAGCTTATAGCCAACACGCATTTTCCAGTTTTGGGAGTCTGAAAGTTACACACGCTTGAAATTCTATCAGTAGATCTGGCAATCAATATCCCTGGCTGAGTGCACTGACAACATGATGCGTTGTGGGAAGTGCGTCACGCACACGAGGCAAGTCCCAAGGTGCAGGCTTTACATGCTCGTATAGCCACGGCGCCACAGAATCATTAAACTTTGCAAATGTAGGAGAGAGCAACGCTTCCCAATCAACCTGTAACACACATTGTAAGCAAATATGAATACAACGGGAAGAAACATAAGACGCCAGTTCAATCCCTTCGATTGTTGCAAACGTGGCAAGCCTCACGAATATCACACCGAGACACAGACATAGAAGACTTGGGTTGGGAGCTGCACGGATACGCGCACAGGCATGTGTTAACCCACCTGAACCCCCTCAGGGATGAGAGCGGTGGTCTCCATGTCAGCAGCCAGGGACAGACCCAGGATGGAGATCAGCCCCACCATTGCTGAGCCTCTAGTGAGAGGCATGAACTGATACCTGCAGGTACAGGTGCAGCACACAAATCAACATCATGCAGAAAAGACACCACAATCCAATGCATAAGCTCAGGGTGCTGAATGGCTCAAGCTGTACATCCTTGGAAAGGAAGGCTAAAGTGCATCAGAGACATGCAGGCACTAGTAGCCACCGGCATCAGCAAAAGGGGGTGTCGGGCCACTGACCAGAAGTACCCCAGCCTGAGGATGGAGCGCTGAATCCTCTGGCGGTAGAGGTGAGGATCTGCTGCCTCTGTCCGTGCGTCCAGCACTGACTCACACAGGGCCTGACGTCTCAAGGAAGGGAGGACCGGGGGAAAGAAGTCTAGTTTTGAGGCGCCTCAAAACTGGACCGAGGGAAAGAAATGCATGCAGAGAGTGTGGGAGCCCTGTGTGCACCTGTGCAACATTGATGCACACACGGACTAACACCCTGGGGTGGAATGGTAAGGGGAGGAATGCACCAGAGAATCTCTGGTGACACGCCAATGCAGTTGCACTCATCTCATTTCATGGCTTGGCACCTCCCTGACTGTCCACTCACCTCCCATGCTGCTGTTAACTCCAAATCCAGGTCCTTCCAACGGTGCTTGTCCACTGTAGTGCGAATGACGAAGTCAAACGACCGAGCGCTGAGAGGAACCGGAGGGTGCGAGAGGGAGGGAGAGAAATACAGGAAGGGGGGGGAGAGCCGGGGGGGGGGAGGGGGGAGTGGTGGGGCTAGCGGATGCAGGGAAGATGGAGCAGCTTGTCTGTTGGCAGGCAGAGAGAGCGAACACAGCAGGCAATGCACATGCCATGTGTTCGCAGGTAGACCAACCCTTCCTGGCAATTGTAGAGGCAGGGTGTTTTTGAGAATTCTCAAAAACACCCTGCAAAATCAGAGAGAGCGAACACAGCAGGCAATGCACATGCCATGTGTTCGCAGGTAGACCAACCCTTCCTGGCAATTTTAGAGGCAGGGTGTTTTTGAGAATTCTCAAAAACACCCTGCAAAATCAGAGAGAGCGAACACAGCAGGCAATGCACATGCCATGTGTTCGCAGGTAGACCAACCCTTCCTGGCAATTGTAGAGGCAGAGGATGCAGCAGGGCGACAGAAGTAGAGGACCACTCACGATGACACAATGGAGAACTCCGTCCCAAGAAGAGCCTTGCTGAAACACAGAAAAGTGCAGAACCCAGGCAGAGAAGAGAATATGAGCAGGGGAGGAGAGGGAGACAGAGAGAAGAGGGAGCGAGAGAGGGGATGACAAGTGGGAGGAGAGGAGAGGGACTTGTTCTGCAGCATTATAGATATCGATCTGCTGATAAGGACACAAGAGACATTTTGAAGGAAATCGAAGCAACGAAATATAGGGGGATATGAAGATATTTCTCAGAAAGTAAACACACTTATGGCCTGAGGGGATGCCGCCCTCGGGCAAGACTCTCAAAGGGATGCCGCCCTAGGGGAAGCCGCCCGAGGGCATGCCGGCTGAGGGGAAGCCGCCCGAGGGGATGCTGCTCGAGGGGAAGCCGCCAGAGGGGAAGCCGCCTGAGGGCATGCCACCCGACGGCCTTGCCGCCCGAGGGAAAGCTGCCCGAGGGCATGCCACCCGACGGCATTGCCGCCCGAGGGCATGCAGCCCGAGGGGAAGCCGCCTGAGGACAAGCCGCCCGAGGGCATGCCACTGCCTGAAGGCATGCCGCCCGAGAGGATTGCCGCCCGAGGGGAAGCCGCCCGAGGGCATGCCACTCAAGGGCATGCCACCCGAGGGGATGCCGCCCGAGGGCAAGCCGCCCGAGAGTAAGCCGCCCGAGGGCAAGCCGCCCGAGGGCAAGCCGCCCAACGGCATGCCGCTGCCTCAGGGCATGCCGCTCGAGAGGCATGCCGCCCGAGGGGATTGCCACCCGAGTGGCATGTCGCCTGAGGGGATTGCCGCCCGACGGGATTGCCGCCCGAGGGCATGCCGCCCGAAGGCATGCCGCCCGTAGGCATGCCGCCCGAGAGGCATGCCGCCCAAGTGGATTGCTGCCCAGAGGCATGCCGCCCGTGGAGATGCCGCCTGAGGGCATGCCGCCCGAGGGGATGCCGCCCGACGGGATGCTGCCCAACAGCATTGCTGCCCGAGGGCATGCCGCCCGAGAGGCATGCCGCCCGAGAGGCATGCCGCCCGAGGGGAAGCCGCCGGAGGGGATGCCGCCCGAGGGAAAGCCGCCCGAGGGGAAGCCGCCCGAAGGCATTGCCGTCCGAGGGCAAGCCGCCCGACGGCATTGCCGTACGAGGGCAAGCCGCCCAAGGGCATGCTGCCCGAGAGGCATGCTGCCCGAGGGGATTACTGCCCGAGATGCATGCCGCCCGAGGGGATGCCGCCCGAGGGGATTGCCGCCCGAGAGCATTGCCGCCCGAGGGCATGCCGCCCGACAGCATTACTGCCCCAGGGCATGCCGCCCGAGAGCATTGCCGCCCGAGGGCATGCCGGCCGAGGGCAAGCCGGCCGAGGGCAAGCTGCACGAGATGCATGCCGCCCGAGATGCATGCCGCCCAATGCCGGCCGAGGGGATGCTGCCCGAGGGCATGCCGGCCGAGGGGATGCCGCCCGAGGGGCATGCCGCCCGAGGGGATGCCGCCCGAGGGGCATGCCGCCCGAGGGGATGCCGCCTGAGGGCATGCCGCCCGAGGGCATGCCGCCTGAGGGGATGCTGCCCGAGTGGATGCAGCCCGAGGACATGCCGCCCGAGGACATGCCGCCCGGGGGCATGCCGCCTGAGGGGATTGCCGCCTGAGGGCATGCCGCCCGAGGGGAAACCTCCCGAGGGCATGCCCCGAGGGGATGCCTCCCTAGGGCATGCCGCCCGAGGGCATGCTGTCCAAGGGCATGCCACCCGAGGGCATGCTGCCTGAGGGGATGCCGGCCGAGGACATACCGCCCGAGGGGCATGCCGCCCGAGGAGAAACCTCCCGAGGGCATGCTGCCTGAGGGCCAGGGGATGCCGCCCGATGGCATGCCGCCCGAGGGCATGCCGCCCGAGGGTATGCCGCCCAAGGGCATGCCGCCCTAGGGCATGCCGCCCGAGGGCATGCCGTCCAAGGGCATGCCGCCTGAGGGCATGCTGCCCAAGGGCATGCCGCCCGAGGGCATGCTGCCCGAGGGCATGCTGCCTGAGGGGATGCCGCCCGAGGACATGCCGCCCGAGGAGAAACCTCCCGAGGGCATGCCGCCCGAGGGTATGCCGCCCGAGGGCATGCCACCCTAGGGCATGCCGCCCGAGGACATGCCGTCCAAGGGCATGCCGCCTGAGGGCATGCCGCCCAAGGGCATGCCACCCGAGGGCATGCTGCCTGAGGGGATGCCGCCCGAGGACATGCCGCCCGAGAGGCATGCCGTCCGAGGAGAAACCTCCCGAGGGCATGCCGTCCGAGGGCATGCCCCGAGGGGATGCCGCCCTCGGGCATGCCGCCCGAGGGTATGCCGCCCGAGGGCATGCCGCCCTCGGGCATGCTGCCCAAGGGGATGCCGCCCGAGGACATGCAGCCCAAGGGGCATGCCGCGCGAGGGGATTGCCGCCCTCGGGCATGCCGCCCGAGGGGATTGCCGTCCTCGAGCATGCCGCCCGAGGGGATGCTGCCCGGGGGGATGCCGCCCGAGGGGATGCCGCCCGAGGGGATGCCGCCTGAGGGCAAGCCGCCCGAGGGCATGCCGCCCAAGAGGCATGCCGCTCGAGGGCATGCTGCCCACTGCCCGAGGGACTGCCGCCCGAGGTGAAGGTGTCCGAGGGGATGTTGCCTGAGGGCATGCTGCCCGAGGGGATGCCGCCTGAGGGGAATGCCGCCCGAGCAGCGATTAGCTTTGCATTACCCGGGAATGGCTTCACTGAAGCACTGCGAGTTGATGAAGAAGTCGCAGCCCACCACCTCATGGAGCTCCTGCACAGTCCCTGCCTGCTCAATCTGGTGCCACAGAGCAGGCAATGAAGTAATGAGAGCGAAATTGATTCGGACAACCTCTAGAAAAACAAAAGCCTCTAGAAAAAAAACTAGGCAAGGCCAGCAACTCGCCTACCTTGTAACCCTCGCTCGCTCTACTACGTCATGTAAATGTCCTTGTATTACCCATTCGCAATTTTCACACTCCCTTGCCTCACACCTCATATCGCACATCAATTCCTCTCGCTTACAACAAACCTTCTCACCCCACCCCTCTTGGCTCACCCTTTCACCGTAGATGTTTCTCGGAATGCGGAACTTGTCCCCCAGTGATGCGCCCTGCGGAGGGGTGGAGGGAGGGAAGACGAGGGATGGTGACTGGCGGTGACGGGTAGTGACGGGCGGTGACAGGCGGTGACGGGCTGTGGCGGGTGGTGATGGGCGGTGACGGGCTGTGGTGGGCGGTGGCAGGAGGTGACGGGCTGTGACGGGCAGTGGCGGACGGTGGCGGGCGGTGATGGGCAGTGGCGGGTGATGCAGGCGGTGACAGGCAGTGGGTGGTGATGGGAGGTGAAGGGCGGAGACGGGCGGTAGCAGGCGGTGACGGGCGGTGACGGGTGGTGGCGGGGCGGTGACGAGTGGTGACGACCAGTGACGGGCGGTGGTGGGTGATGCGGGCGGTGACAGGCGGTGGGCGGTGATGGGAGGTGAAGGGTGGAGACAGGCAGTGAAGGGTGGTGACAGGCGGTGACGGGTGGTGGCGTGCGGTGATGGGTGGTGACGGGCAGTGACGGGCGGTGGCGGGTGATGCGGGCGGTGACAGGTGGTTGGCTGTGATGGGAGGTGAAGGGCGGAGACGGGCGGTAGCGGGAGGTGACGGGTTTTGCCGGGCGGTGACGGGTGGTGGCGGGCGATGACGGGTGGTGATAGCGGGTGACGGGCGAGCAAGCACCTAGAGCAAGCGCCTCGAACAAGCTCGCAAGCACCTAGAGCAAGCTTTCTACCAGAGTTCGTCCCCCCTCCGGCACTCAAGCTGGCCTTGGAGTGCGCTCAGGTGGCCAGAGCGTGTTGCCTGGATCATGACTCATCCCATTCCATGGGGTCAGACCGTACCATGACCCATCCCATCGCACACCATCACCCATCCCATCGCACACCATCACCCATCCCATCGCACACCATCGCCCATCCCATCGCACACCATCGCCCATCCCATCGCACACCATCGCCCATCCCATCGCACACCATCGCCCATCCCATCGCACACCATCGCCCATCCCATCGCACACCATCGCCCATCCCATCGCACACCATGAGGCCATGCACGCTCTTGGAGCTCAGAGTCATGCCCGTTGCGTTGGAAGCTTCCTCTGATTCCAGCAGCCGCTGCTTCACCACCTCCAGAGTTCTGATGGGCGTTGGCCCATGGGAGCCAGGTCAAGGGCGGGAGACAAGCAGCAGGTGGGAGAGAGAAGAACGAGCGGGGTGCGTTGGTGTGAGGCGATGGCAACCGCGTATGGAAAAAACCAGTAAGACTCACCTCTCTCTCAGGGCATGATTCTCACCTGTCTCTGAGCGGGTAGTACTTGACATTCTGCAACTGGCCAATCTGAATGCCAGTCAGGCTTCCGTACCCCCTCTCGATCTCGTTCCTGCTTGCACCACAGAAACCGAGGCACAGGGAGCAAGAGAAAGGATCCGAACCTCTCAATCTAGTTTCTAGCTAAGGGGCACAACTGGGAAGATCAGGAGTGGAGGCAGCAGTTAAACCCTCAGCAGCCCATCGCGTGCACGATTTACCAACAGAGCATGGCATAAGTCAGGCCGGCCCACTCTGCTCTCACTTGAACCGATCCCTTCATTCCAAAACCCTTCTTTCCCACCCACTGCGTCCTCAGGTGATTTTTGAGTCGACTCAAAAACCACTCTGCTCTCACTTGATCAGACCCCTTTTTTCCAAAACCCTTCTTTCCCAAACCCTTCTTTCCCACCCACTGCGTCCTCAACCACTCACTCTAGCAGGTCGACCCAAGCCACAAGGTCCGTGGGCTCGCCCATCTGCCTCCACGGCACGATCAGATTGAACATGTCCCTCCAGCCTGCCATCAGCCGCCCGCCCCCCTTCTTGTCTGAACGCCCCTTGAGTCCGCCCTGTGCGCCCTTCTCCCCCTTGCTGCCCTCTGCTCTCGTCAGCTTGTAGAATGAGTCAGCGAACGCCCTTCGTCTCCGCCTCCCCCTCTTGCTCGCCCTTGGTCTGGATTGCGCCAATCCCGTGTTTGCTTCGGATTCATCTTCCTCATCCCTTCGCCCCTCTTCCCCACTCTCATCCGTTCCTCCTGCCACGTTTTTGCCCGCTTCCTCCACCCCTGCTGCTTCTTCTTTTCGTGCCATGCCCTCCCACGTTGCTCTAACCTGTTACAGCACAGGTAGCGGCAGCACAGGTAGAGGCATGCACCATCCATATGTATGTAAGAGGAAGACCAGTCAGAGACGAAGTATCTGCCAGCTTACCTTGTCTGCATGAACAGGGCATGTATCCGAAGCTAGCTTCTGATTGAAAACACTTCTGACTGAAAATACTATTCTCCTGATGCAAAAACGGATGGTCGCTACCTTTGACTATCTCACCTGCTGCATCACATCCAAAGCCGCCAGCCCTGCCATGCGAAACTGCAGGAGGAGACGGGGCAGACGACGGTGAGGAAGGGAGGAATGAGTGTTGACATGACAATGTGCACAAGCCACTTCTCTCTTTTGAATTGCCATTCAGCCTATGTTCCCCTCTTCATTCATCCAACCTGGAGCAGGAGACAAGCCTGTTCAAAGGGACCCAAAAATACCAGCTCACCTGTCTTTTGTTTGGCATGAACCCATCCCCAGAGTAATGTGCTCCCAATCTCATCTGCTCTGGCAAGCGCAGCTGGTCCTCTCTCAAACAGACCAATTGTCAATGCCTCACCTGTCTTTTGTTTGGCATGAACCCATCCATGAAGTAATGCGCCCTCCTCCCAATCTCATCCGCCCTTGCTATTAGATCCAGAGCCTCCTCAGATAGTGACGGCAGGGCAGGGGATTTGCCCTTGCCCTTGGCGCCTGGTGGGAGGTCAAGGGGGCGGTAGGTGGGGGGAAGCACTGCAGGCGGAAGCCGTCGAATCCATGCCTCCTGTCAACGGTGGGGGAAAGAAGGGTAGAAGAGAGAGAAGGAATGAGGAGGGAGGAGGGGAAAAGGGAGATGGAATGCCGTTAGGGAAGGGGAGGAAAGGATGAGAATGGGAGACAAGAACATCAAAGTAGCAGTCAAGCAACTGGGAATCAAAATAAAGGGCATTTAAGGACGTTACCTTGAGACTGACGTCAAGGTCTCGGTCAATTTGGAAATCATCGAAAGGGCGGCTGAGTTTGGACCATGTGTAAGTGGCGATGTCCCTCTGCAGCACATGCATGGTGTGGTGGGAGAGAGTTGGGAGAGATATGAAAGGATGTACGGGAAGAGACAGGGGGGGAGGGTTAGAGGAATTGAGGGAGGGAGGGAGGGAAGGAAGAGCGATGGACCACTGGCACAAGAACGAAATTCCAGATGAGGGGCTTACCTGGTAGAAGGCGAGGGACTGCTGGACCTGCGCATACTCGGTGGCCGCTTGAGAAGGCAGCGTTAGAATAAGGCTGTACTGAGATATCTGCACGTCCAATAGCGCGGATGGATACAGTGGGAGGAAGAAAGGGGAGTGTGGGAGATGAGCTGACGGAACAGCAATAATCTCTGCACGTCCTTGAGTCAGAAGGCACCGCTATGCCTGACATGGGATCAAGGAGCGTCTCACAGAGGAACGAGGTGGCTGCTGAGTCATGGGAATCGAGGAGCATTTTACTCAAAAGGAGCATCTTACAGCAGCACGGTAGTCCCCAACTGCATGCAGCGAGGAAGCTTCCGCGTAATTGAGCTCGATGTCCATGGGCTTCAGCTTCAGCCCCTTGTGGGCGTATTTGATGGCGGCCCTGACGAGGAGGGAGGAGAGAGGATGCAGACAGGGCGAAGGATGGTGCGGGGAAAATCGGAGGCTCGATAACCGAGTGGAAGGGGGGTGAGGACAAAGAGGGCTGAGATGGTAGGAGAGCAAGAGTAAAATGGGAGGGAAGAGGAGAAACGAGGGGGGGAGGGGGGGGGGGGGGGGGTTGTATGGAGAGGGGGACCAGAGAATCTGAAAGAAGAAAGCGGCAATAAATTTTGCCTATTCCAGAAGATAACCAGTTTGAATTCACATAATTGACGGCCCTTGTGGTCCCCTTGAACTCCACTATGATCTTGGGCTCACTCGGCTCACCTGTCGTCCCCTGGTCTGTAACTAGACTCCCCTGTCTTCCCCTGGTCTGTAACTAGACTCCCCTGTCTGTTAGAATATTCTCCCTTCATTCTATTAGCCTACATCGTTTCATTGTCTTAGGTACTTATAAGCACCCCACTAGGGTGTATACACCCAAGTTGGGGGTTGGGTTCCCAACCTTGTTGAGTTCCCAAGTTGGTTGGGCTCCCAATTATTGGAACCCCCAATAATCCCAACCAAGATTACTGGACCCACCAATAATCTTGGCTAGGATCATTGGACCCCCAATAAGTTGGCCAACTCAACTTATTGGGGTCACCAATAATCGTGGTCACCTCCCAACCAAAACCCCCCCCTCCCTCCTACTTCTCACCTATGTATACCCACTCTTTTCCTAATACAATCATCACTTGAGTTTCTCACATGGTTTCAGAGCTTATGGCTCACGCCTCTCCGTGGTTCGATCCCTAGCCACCTCGCGCCCAACGCGCCCCTCCCCGCGCCCTTAAGCGCCCTCTCCGCGCCTTTAAGCGCCCCTTCCCGCGCCCATAAGCGCCCCTCCCCGCGCCCATAAGCGCCCCTCCCCGCGCCCATAAGCGCCCCTCCCCGCGCCCATAAGCGCCCCTCCCCGCGCCCATAAGCGCCCCTCCCCGCGCCCTTAAGCGCCTCTCCTCGCGCCCTTAGTCGCTACATTTTCGCGCGGCGCTCTTGCCGCATTTCGACGCGGCGCTCCTGCCGCATTGCGACGCGGCGCTCGGCTGCATTGCGACGCGGCACTCGGCCGCATCTCGACGCGGCGCTCGACCGCATCTCGACGCGGCGCTCGGCCGCATCTCGACGCGGCGCTCGGCCGCATTTCGATGCGGGCACTCGGTCGCATTTCGGCGTGACGTTCCGCCGCGATTTGACGCGGCGCTCCCGCACCATCTTGACGCGGCCCTCCCGCCATATTTCGACACTCCGTCGCCTCCTCCCCCTTTGTGCTGTCCCGGCGCCCCCGCCTAACAAGCGGGATTCGGCCGGGCTGACCTCTGTGCCGGCGTGCACCGCACACAACTGCCCACAGCTGCCGATCGTCGCCATCCGCGCTGGCCGTCGCCTTTCGCGTCGGCGCCAACCGACGGCGACTTAAGAGCTGCGCTCCGCGCACCCGCCTTTTTCCTCCTCCCCCCCCCTTCCTCCCTCCCTTCCTCTCCTCCTCCCCCTTCCTCCCTCCCTTCCTCTCCTCCTCCCCCCTTCCTCCCTCCCTTCCTCTCCTCCTTCCCCACCAACAGCAGCAGCCGCACCCCCCCCCCCCCCCTGCACCTACCGCCCCACCTCCACCCCCCTCGGGACCGGCCCCCACCAAGCCCTCCCCACTGGTCTACACCGATGACCCTGATCGATGGGCTCGCGTGCAGCACCAGTATGACAAGGACTTTGCGGAGTACACTCTCCTCCAGCACGCGTATGACGCAGAGCAAGCTGCGCACGACGCTGCCAACACACTTCTCCAGCAACACAGGGACGCCACGGCTAAGTACGCTGATGACTTTCGTGAGTACCGTCGTCGCCACTCTGCCTGGAACATTGCCAACCGCAAATGTCTCGCTATCCTGTCTGCATGCGTTCCTTCCTCCCTCAAACGCGAAATGACCCCCTCCTCCGCTCCCGAGTTCTGGAAAAAGCTATGTGCCACCTATGACCTCCAGGACACCAACTCTCTCCTAGCGCTCCACCGCGCCTTCCTCGACATCAACCTCGACTCCTGCCCCAACGCCCTCTCCTTCACGCGCCGCCTCCTCACCACTGCCAAACGCCTTGCCGATCGTCGCTCTCCCCTTCCCGACTCCCTCATTGTTTGCCGCCTCCTCGACGGTCTCACACCCATGTACGAGGCCCGTCGCGTGGCGTTCAATGAGGTTCACGCCAGCTTCCCACCCGACTCCGCCTATGTAGCCGCATGGATTCTGAAAACTGAAGCGGAGCTTCTCCGCCAGCCTCCTCCAACGGCTCATGCTGCCCAAGCAAAAGGAGGACGTGGTGCTGGCCGTGGCGGTACTTCGGCGGGACGATCGGGTGGTGGACGTGGCGGGGGGCGCAGTGGAGGACGCGGGGGTAGCAGTGGTTCCAACAGCACCGGCGCCTTCTCCCCATGTCAGTATCTCATCCGCAACGTCCCCAACAAGGGTAAGCGCTGCCTCCAAACCACCCATGCCACCACCACATGTTTCAAGGCCCTCACTGATGAGTGGCTTGATCGAGGCAACACGGGCACGCCCCCTCGCTGGTCCGCTATCACTCCACCTCCCACTCCCTTTGATGTTCGTACCCTCCTCGCCTATCAGCCCTCCTCTACCTCTCTCCACCACATCCTCGCACAGCACCTCCCTCCACAGATCCTCCAGCAGGTCACGCCCCTCCTTCCGTCCCCGCAGCCGCAGCAGACTCAGCAGCCGCAGCAGTCCCAGCAGCAGCCGCAGCAGCTCCTGCAGCAGCTCCTCCAGCAGCTGCAACAATCTCAGCAGCACTAGCAGTCTCAGCAGCAACCCTCCCCTCCCTCCGCCTAGAGCTCCGGCCTCTCTGCTCCTGCTCCTCTTGCGCAGGCCCCCACCGGACCTCCTGGCTTTACCCCATTTCCCTCTCCTGGCTTCATCAACCATGTTAGCCATGCTTCTCCTGCTATTCCTCCAATCTATCCCGAATCTATTAATGAAACCTCATTCCAGTACTCCGTGTCTCACCCCACCCCTCCTTCCATTGAGTTTGTCATTGACAGCGGCGCCAGTGTCGCAGTCCTTCGTGACGCTGGTGCCCTCACCCCCCTCCCTAACCCCTCCACCATCATTGGAGCCGATTCTACTTTCTTGGTCACCTCCCGCCATACCTCCACTCTTCCCTGCCCCCTCTTCCCCTCAGGTTCAGTAACTGGCTTCCATGTCCCCTCCCTTCGCACTAACCTTGTCTCCCAAGGTGCACTTCAACGGGCCGGGGTCACAACAATCTACCCCGGCCACGCCACCCACTGTGACCTCTTCCACTCATCCACGGGTCATTTCATCGTCCGTGTTCCCATGTGTCCTCGCACTCGCATGTACACCCTTCACACTCCCCGTCCGTCAGCCTGTCACACTGCCTCAACCATCCCTCCCCTCCCCCCTCCTCTCTTTCTTCCGCAACCTCCCCCACCTCCCCTCCCGCCCCTCCTGCTCCCCCCCCATCTCAGTGCCATTGTCGTGATCTTACACATCCTGCCATCCTCCTCCACCACCGCCTAGGTCACCCCAACTTTGCCACCCTTCACAAGGCCGTCGCCTCCGGGCTCCTCAATGGCCTTCCCCTCACTCTCCCTCCACTCCCTCCCTCCCCCGCCCCCCCTTGCACCATCTGTGTCCAGAGCAAGCTCAAGCAGCTTCCTCATAAAAGTCACCCTTCTTGCGCCCCAAAGCTCCTGGATCTTGTCCACATGGATCTCTGGGGCCCCAACCCCTCCCCCACCCGTTAAGGGCACCGCTACCTCCTCGTCCTGGTCCATGACCGCTCACGATACATCTCGGTCTCCCTCCTTCGCACGAAGGCCGAGGCACCGGCCTTCATCATCGCCTGGGCCGAGCAGGTGCGCACCCACTTCGGTCGTCCCATTCGACGCTTCCATTCCGATGGCGGCGGTGAATTCCTCAATCACCATCTCTCTTTCTATTTCTCCACCCATGGTATTCACCACACTTACACCCTCCCTCACTCCCCTCAGCAGAATGGCGTGGCAGAAGCTTGTGTTCGAGAAGTTACAAAGACCGCCAGGTGTCTTCTCGTTCACGCCTCTTGCCCGCCTTCTCTCTGGGGTTATGCTCTTCTCCACGCCGTCCTCCTCACTAACCTGTATCCCCACCCTCTCCTCCCCTCCACCATCCCCACCGAGCTGTGGACGTCAACTAAACCCGACGTCTCCCCCCTGCGAGTCTGGGGTTCCAGGGCGTATGTTCTCATACACCCAGCCGACTGCTCACGCACAGCAGGGAAGCTCGCCTCCAAGAGTCTACCCTGTGTATTCCTTGGTCACAACACCTCCTCCCCTGACTACCTGTTCCTTCATCCCCCCTCAGGTCGCCTCATTCGTAGTCGGGACGTCATCTTTGACGAATCCTCCCCGTACTACACCTCTCCTGCCTCACCTGACCCACTCACCATTCCTCCTCGCCCCCTCATCCCCTCTGACACTGTCACCCCCCCCCTCCTCCCCCCTCTCCCTCTTATTCCCCCACCCCAGCACCTCCTCCTCCCGAATCTGCTCCCTCCTCATCTTCCTCAGGTGACATCCTTGACCCATTACTCCCCCCCTCTCCCTCTCACTCCGCTTCCGCTCCATCCTCCCCCTTCTCCCCACCTCCTCCCCCTCCACCTCCTTCCCCCCCTCCTCCCCCATCTCCCCCACCTCCTCCTCCACCCCCCCAGGTGTCTTCTCCCCTTGTCCTTCGCCACCGCCCTCATACTCGGTCCATGGATCCCCTCTTTGGTCCGCCCTTAGCCCCTCCCTCCCCTCAGGCAAAGGCACCCGCTCCAGCACCCTCTGCTTCCACCTCCGCACCCGCCGCAGCAGCTCCCGCCGCCGCACCAGTGCCTGCCCCGGTCGCCGCACCCATAGCGTCAGGATCCGCCGCAGCAGTTGCCCCGGTCAAGCAGCCGTGCAGCCGAGTCACAGAGTCGCCGTGTCGCAGCCTCCCCCCTCAGCAGCGCAGCAGACTTCCAACACCACCCTCCCTTCCTCCTCCTTTCTCTCCCCTCCTCATCGAAGACTCCCATGGTGAATTTCTTCGCCTCCACCTCTTCTCCAACACCCAAGCAGTCGCCTTCAGCATGACCGGCGCCCCGGTACTTGTCTTCTCCGGCGCGCCCATCATCTTCGAGCCGGGAGATTATCACGAAGCTATGACATGCCCCGACCACCCTCATTGGGGCAAGGCAGTCCTCAAAGAGAATGAGGCCTTTGTCCGCAACGGCACCTTCATCGACGTACCCCGCCCTCTCAACCACAACGTGGTCAAGGGCAAATGGGTATTTCGGGTCAAGCTCCTCCCTGGCGACGACCCGATCTATAAGGCCCGCTACTGCGCCAAAGGATTCACGCAGCGGTACGGCCATGACTTCCTTGACACCTACTCGCCGACCGCCACTCCCCCTGTCATCCGCGTGTTCTTGGACTTCGTCGGCCAGCGCGGCATGATCCTGCACTCGATGGATGTCACCACGGCATTTCTCCAAGGTGAACTCCATGAGCGCATCTTCATGGAGCGTCCCGAGGGCTGGCACCTCCCTTTTCCTCCTAACACCGTTTGGGAACTTCGCCGCCCGGTCTACGGCCTCAAGCAAGCTCCTTGGGAATGGCATGCCAAGCTCTCGAGCACTCTCCGTGCTCTTGGTTTTCGCCCTTCCCAGTCTTCCTCCTGCCTCTTCCTGCGCACCTCCCCCTCCCCCTTCTACATCCTCGTCTACGTCGACGACATGCTTCTTGCCTTGCCGCTGACAACGAAGCAGACCTACAACAGGTCAAGGATGAGCTGCAGAAGCGCCTCCTCTGCAAGGACCTGGGGGAGGTCCGCAACTACCTCGGGATGGAGATTTCTCGCGATCGTGCGGCCAGGACCATCTCCCTCTCTCAGGCATTCTACCTCGAGAAGGTCCTTGAACGCTTCGAGATGGCCACGGCCAAACCCGTCTCCACACCCCTCCAAGTCAGCCACCAGCTCTCGCCGACATCCACCCACGATTCCTCCACCAGTCCTTACGCTGAGCTGGTCGGGTCCCTGATGTACGCCATGATGTGCACTCACCCCGACCTCGCCTACCCTATCAGTGTCCTGGCGCGCTTTGTCGGCGCTGGCAAACACACTCCCGAGCACTGGCAAGCGGCCAAGCGCGTTCTCCGCTACATCAAAGGCACCAAGGACTATGTCCTCACCTTGGGTGGCCCCACCCCTCCTCAGCTCACTGGCTATAGCGACTCCTCTTGGGCGGATTCTCAGCCCGATCGTCGCAGCTCACAGGGGTATGGTTTCTCCCTCGGGAGCGGCCTCATTTCCTGGCGCTCCACCCGCTCCTCCTCGATCGCTCTCTCCTCCTGCGAAGCAGAGCTCTACGCCGTCACCATGGCGGCCCAGGAGGCGCGGTGGCTCAGCTTCCTCCTCGCTGAGCTGGATGCTCCCCAGCCCTGTCCCACCATCTGGTGCGACAATGCCAGTACTATCCACCTCACAAAGGAAGCCGTTTTCCATAGTCGCTCCAAACACATCGAGCTCCGACACCACTTCGTTCGTGAGCTCGTCCAGGCTGGACACCTCACCGTGCGCAAGATTGACTCTTCAGCCAACCTTGCAGACATCTTCACCAAGGCCCTCCCTCGTCGTCCCCATGCGGCTCTCCTTCGCCTTCTGGGCCTTGCCCCTCCCTCACAGGGGACTACCTGATTCAGGGGTTGCTTCTCTTCACCTTCCCAAGACTTATGGCACTCTGTAGGCTAAGGGGTTGTGTTAGAATATTCTCCCTTCATTCTATTAGCCTACATCGTTTCATTGTCTTAGGTACTTATAAGCACCCCACTAGGGTGTATACACCCAAGTTGGGGGTTGGGTTCCCAACCTTGTTGGGTTCCCAAATTGGTTGGGCTCCCAATTATTGGAACCCCCAATAATCCCAACCAAGATTATTGGACCCACCAATAATCTTGGCTAGGATCATTGGACCCCCAATAAGTTGGCCAACTCAACTTATTGGGGTCACCAATAATCGTGGTCACCTCCCAACCAAAACCCCCCCCTCCCTCCTACTCCTCACCTATGTATACCCACTCTTTTCCTAATACAATCATCACTTGATTTTCTCACACTGTCGTCCCCTGGTCTGTAACTAGACTCCCCTGTCGTCCCCTGGTCTGTAACTAGACTCCCCTGTCGTCCCCTGGTCTGTAACTAGACTCCCCTGTCGTCCCCTGGTCTGTAACTAGACTCCCCTGTCGTCCCCTGGTCTGTAACTAGACTCCCCTGTCGTCCCCTGGTCTGTAACTAGACTCCCCTGTCGTCCCCTGGTCTGTAACTAGACTCCCCTGTCGTCCCCTGGCCTGTAACTAGACTCCCCTGTCGTCCCCTGGTCTGTAACTAGACTCCCCTGTCGTCCCCTGGTCTGTAACTAGACTCCCCTATCGCCCCCCCGTCTGTAACTAGACTCACCTGTGGTCCCCTATGCTCTGCAGCAGAACGGCCAAGCGTAGATATGCCTCTGCTGTCCTGCACTCATGCACATTTGCACACATGCACAAGTACACACGCTCACACATGCGTACATGATCACAAGCACACATGTAGACATACAAGCAGGCAGGGATACATAGAAAGGATAAGCGCAACCCAGTGACACACACATAAAGGCCAGGGCATGCACGTGCTCCCCCGGGAATGGACACGGCATCGCCCCAAAACTACTCAAGCCACAACAGCTTCTGCCGAGCATGGGGACGAGGCAACAATAGGAGTGGGAGAGCCTAAGAATTAAACGCCATGGAGGAAATGATGTAAACCCGCGCGCACTCACTCAATGCTGCAGGAGAAGCTTCTGCTCCAATGCCCGCAGCCAGTCGTCCTCTCCCCCCCCCCCCCCCAGTTCCGTGTGCGGCCTGCCTTTCTAAGCCGCCAATCTCTCTGCATCCGACACCCTGCCTTCGCACACTCACCCCCCACCCAACTCACTCTTCCAGTGCCAGCGCCTTGCGCAGTGCAGCCAGTGCTTGCTCCGGTTCCCCCAGCTCCTTGTGTGCCCGGCCCTTCTCATTCCACAGCAGAGCCACCCCTGGTTGCCGCCTCACTGCCTCTTCCAGTATGTTCACAGTGTCCCTCCACTGGCCCGCCCCTCCATAACTCAGCGCCTGAATGCGGCGGGGGAGAGAGGGAGTGTTAGCTGTTGAATCCACTCAAAGCATGCCAGGTGCTTCCCCCAGTTCCTGACGCGCCCTGGCCTCATTCCACAGCACTGCCACCCTGCAAGACGCCTCACCGCCTTTTCCGATACCTGCACTGTCTCCCTCCACTGGGCTGCCCTGCAGGATCTCAGGGCTTGACTGCGGTGTTGTGTGTGGGGGGTGGTGTGGGAAATGTTATCGCAGCACGGATGTGCAGAGCACAGCACAGATCAAACACACTAGTGCAGGAAAGTGCGGGGGACATATCGCAGCATGGAGGAGCACAGCACAGTACAGATAAGTACATGAGAGCACGGCAGCGCTGGACATACCACAGCACGGGTGAGCATGGGCTCATTGGGTTGGCGCTTGAGTGCGGCTGTGAGATCATCGATGGCCGTCCAGAAGTCACCCGCCTGGAAGGCCAGCACTCCTGGAGGCACAAGGTGGGGAGGGAGAAGAAGGAGGAGTCTTTGAGCTGACTTCCCATCGACAGTTGATTTCACTGGAACAATCTCTGTAAGAAAACGTACTACTGGGAGTTGCCATGTGCGAATGATACATTTTTCTACTCCTAAGCAAGAGCCCGCAGGTTCTCAAAGTGGTGTGGCTCACCTCTTTCTTGCACCGTCTCGTAGTGGTTTGGCTCCAGCTGCAGAGCTTGCGTGTAGTCGCTTATTGCCTCTGCCCGCCGCCCCATCGACGACAGCACCTGAGCTCGACGCCGCCAGAACTCGACCATGTGTGGGAAGTGCTTTGTGCCCTGAGGGGTGGGGAAAGGAGGTGGTGATGACGGATAGAAAGGGGGGTGTGGGGGACTGGGAGAAGCAAAGGAGCACGAGGAGGGGAGACAGCAGCTGAGCCCAACAACGCCAGAACTTGGCCAGATGAGGGTAGTGTAACGTGTTTGCGCTCTGAGGGATAGGGAAAGGGACTTCGCGGCGGATCAAACTGTGCGACCAGAACCCTCCACGGCATGTGGTGCGGGGCGAGGGCAGGAGTTGGATTAGGAAATAAAGGCACGTCCTGCAATCCATTCCCAATGTAGACAACTCCTAGAAACTCCCAAGGAAAAAACAGTCACCTTGGAAAATGCTCACCTTGGTGAGGTCCTTGAGCGCCTTATCTGGCTGGCCCAAGAAAGTGAAGGCTATGCCCCGGCCCAACAGCATGTGCTGTCGTACATCGGGATGGTCCACCGCCTCCAGCTAAGATGGGAGAGAATGGGATGGGGGGATGGAGCAAACAAGGCATGGGAGGGAGAGCGGGGCAAGAAAGGCAACGCCTTGGCTTAACAGCAGCATGTGCTGTGCTGCACAGTTGCGGCACCGTGAGCTGGGGGAATCCACTAACTCTGGCTGAGAGGGGAGCTGGAGGTGATAGATCATGGAGGTGTCCCAATCGAGGATGGAGGTGAAGCGATGGGAAGAAACAAGACGGAGCAAAGCTTCTTGCTGTTAGGATGATTTTTTACATCCGCTTCATGGTTGCTCCTGACGTCTGGTTAATACTTGTCTTGAAAAGCGAAACAAAGCAACTTGCTTGTAGCTCACCCAAAAAACTTCTCACCTTATTAAATTCTTTAGCAGCTTCCGAGTAGCTTCCCTGCCGCAGCTGATGGTTTAAGAACGGTTAAAAAGGATGAAATAAGAAAGGAAAGAATCAGCCCTGGATAATCGGTAAACACTTTTCACATGACTGGGGCCAGAAGAGGAATGGGCATACAGCAGGTTCATGAGAGAATAAAGGGAAGCAAAAAACCTTCCTGAAAGTGAGCAGAAAAAAACTGGAGCTCCTGCAAGCAACGCTTCTCTGACCTCCTTTCGAAGCCAGAATACAAGCCTCACGATGCAGATATCCCTTTCTGCCTTTCCTCTATATGCAATTGCTTTCCTGACCTCCCCCCATCTCCCTGCCCTCTCCACTTCACTCGCATCAGGCCAACACTTACTGCAGAAAACGCTCTGCCGAGTGCCAGCTGGTGGACGGGATCCACTCCCATGCCGTGAGCCCCACCGCCAGGCCCTTGCCTCGCTCTCTTCTGGCTATGCTGACTGTCCGCCTCTGCCTTCCTTTCTTGCTGCCTCATTATTCGTCTCAGCCTCTCCTCTTTCGTCTCCTCTTTACCCTTCTCACTCTGCTTCCTGTCTTCCTCTGGTTTCCTCTCTCGCTGCTCCATGGTGCTCCTCAGTCCTCCAGCGGACTGTTTAGATGCTTCTGCTTTCCTCCCTTCCTGCTGCATCGTCTGCCTCAGCCTCTCCTCCTTTGCCTCCTCGCGGCTTTTCTCCTGAACTAGAGTCCTCTTGACCTTTGCCGCATCCCCGTCTTCCGTGCTCTTCCCACCCCGTCCTCCTCTCCTTCCGCTCAATGCATTCCCAGTGCCTTCTCGTCTCTCAGCTGCTCCCTTTTCCTCGCTGTTTCCTGCGCCTTCCAACCCGCTTCCGTGTTTTCTATCTTCACTCCCCCCTGCTCCTCCCCTGCTTGCCCACCCCCTTCCCCCAACGCCTCCCCCGGCACCTCCCCCAGCGCCTCCCCCAACGGCTCTCGCTTCTCCCCCCACCCCATCCAGGCGCATCAGGGCGCAGAGATCCGCTCCCCCCAGCAAAAGCTTCCCCCCTCGCCCAGGGGAAGCGGGGTCGCAGGCGGGCGGAGGGAGAGCAGAGGGGGGAGGCGGAGAAAGGAGCTTGAACAAACGGGTTCCTACAGGGGAGAAGGAGGGGGTGGGGAAAAGGGATGACGTTAAGGTGGGACAATAAAGGTGATACGAAAGTAGGTTGAAAGGGAAAGGATGCTAAAGAGTGGGAAGGGAGGGAGGGAAATAAGGGCAGTCTTGTGAAACTGAATACACGAGCAAAGTTATGTTTTGCACCTTTTCTGACGAGCGGAGGAAGGCATTTGCGGTCTTGCAAGCGTTGACGACGGTGGGGTGCTGTCATTTGCTGAGCTGGCACTGATGCGATCAGATCCACCTCCCAACTACACAAGCAGGGGTTCCTGAGGATGACGTGTGGATGACGTGTAATGATGAGGAGATGACCCCACGATGGTGGGCCTTAACCGGAGGGTTATAAAACGGCAGAAGTGGAAGAAAAGCACGACAAGGGACGAATGTCAATCAAGCATGGGGAAAAACAGGAGGGGAAGGATGACTTGAATGTCAACAACGACTTGACAAATGTGACTGAGCAGTCGCGAAACGACCGAAGCCAAATCAGCTCGCACCATGAGTGTTCCTTCAAAGAGGGTAGTAATCCTTCCGCGCCAATAATCATCTCATCCGCATCGCAGATGCGCGTCGAGCTCGGCAGCACGAACCCCGCTGACTCTGCGGATTCCCCCTCCCTGCTGTTCGCATTCGCAATGTTGCTACTCGCGGGGGGAGGGAGCGTCGGTGCGGTATAGTAGCGTCCGTTGAAGACATTGCACAGTGTCAGGTTCAGCGACAGGCACACGAACGTCGCACGAATCGCACGAAGCGACGGCGCCATCGCGAACGGCTAAGGGTGGCGAAGTCTGAGTCTGAGGCGCCTAGAGACCATCAGAAAGTGTTGGCGGGTGACGAAATCGTGCTGACGGGCGATGGGATTACTAAGGCGCAACGTTCTTAGGAGTCCGCATTGTGACAGATCGACTTGCTAAGTAACGAAGTGGTGTCAAAGTAACTCTACAACAAGAAGCCGAATTGGTTACTCGAGAATCTTGACTGACGAGGTGTGGAAAGAGCTTTACGAGCTCTTGACTTGATTCGACGATCCGAACACCAAGTCTTGCGACTAAGTCCTCTGACGAAGTTCTAATGACTTGCGACTAGTGCCTGCGACCAAAGTCCTGTGACGAAGTCCTGTCTGTTCAGACAAGCGTTGTGCGACAAGCCTTGTGAAAATGCTCTCATTGTTGCCTGTATGGCAATCAGATTCGGCTGCTGGACTGACGGGAAGCGGGGCACTGCTCACAGGGGCGAAGACCACGAGACCATGGTTGGAACAGTTAGCGGGTCCTGGGAACACCGGCAGAGGCCCAAGCTTCCCTCCCCCCCTCGAATTTCACAAATGTTGGAAGGAGCAGCGGCTCCCAATCAGCCTGTAACATACACATTGTAAGCACGAATCACTACACGCATTCTATTACCGGTACATGGACTCACTAGTCAAAACATGCAAATGGCCAACCACCCATCCTGAATTCCTACATGAATAATCCATCCATAACCTGCATAATTGCTGATAATCTCTTATTAATGGATAGCAAACTGGTTCATCACTGCATTCTTGCATAATCTCTTACCCGCTAACAGATTCAAACCTGCAAAGGCAGTCGCCGTTAGCTGCACTAAACTTTAATGCAAATGAAGCATCACCTGCATTCTAGGCATTGAAGAAGATGATAGCCTGGAAAACTCACATACCAGTAACTTATGTAAACGATCCATAATCTTCGTCCTTGACATTGAACATGCTCCTTTTGACCAGCAGAATTACTCCAAACGCATCCTTGAAATTGAACCTGTTGATCACAACCTGTAAAAAACAACCTGTCTGTTAGTAGTCGATTCCTGGGTGAACCATACATAACCTTCGTCTTTGACATTGAACACACTGATCTCGTCCTGCATCAGCCATTCGGTGTTTTGAGCCGACTCAAAACACAGCCAGTCAATCCATCGCCGCCAGATTCTTGCTTAGAAATCCAAAGCCTGGATCATGGACAGCCACATGATTGTTAGTTCTAATGCTCCTGTCAACATCTATCAGCTGCATTCCCGACCTGGACCTCGCTGATCGTCACCTGCAACAAACGTTCCAGCCCTTAACACTACGAGAGTCTCGCATGAAGGAACCATAAGCTGCATTCTCACGGTTGATGACCGAAGAAGCCAGTCAATCCGCTGCTGCTGCAACACAATCTTGCTTGAAGCGTCTATAAACCGCGTTCTTTGAAAGAGCTCGGTGATCATGCTCCCAGAAAACAGCCAATCCGGTTGACGAATTCTAGAGTAAGTATCACCTATGGCCTGCGTCCTTCACATTGAAGTCGCTGACAATAGCCTGCAAAGACAGTCACTCTGTTAGTAGTATACACTGCATAAACGATACGTCCGCTGCGTATTCGACATTAAACTCACGCAACATGGCCTGAAGAAGCCAATCAATTCGTTACAAGTGTATCACATTCTTGCTTAAAGGGGGAGAAAACTGGAACTCCGATAAGGATGATACATAAATCTGTTCACGTTGAACTCGCTGACATAAACCTGAAAAGGCAGTCCCTCTTGGTAAGATTCTTGCGTCAAACATCCATGTTGGCATACTTGATTGACATTGAACTCACCGATCATAACGCACATAGGTCGCCACTTATATCAGCGCGTATACAATCCATAACCTGCATTCTTGACAATGATCTTGCTGATCATAACCTGCAGGAAACCATTAATTCTAGATGCTCGGGCTAACGAACCATCAGCTGCATTTCAGGCATTGAACTCACGGATTATGGTTTGAAAAAGCCAGTCAATCCGCCACTGCAGTGTCACGAGCTCGCCTAACCGTTGAGGATTTGCGCTCGCGAAAGCACTGGTCATCACGAGCCATGACCCGAGTGTTAAGTAAGAACTGAATGATTGACTAGAAGTGGAAACCTAGAACAAGTACTAGTTGGTTGTACTCACTCGAAGCATACCTCAGTCTAGCCTATAACTTCTACATAGCTAATATGTATAAGTTGACACACCCCCTAGGCTAGACAAGGGGTGAAGCTAAGCAAGAAGCAAACAGCTCAGGGTGGCACTACTTGTCCAACCACTGAGGCAGGGGTCTGGAGACCAGTCAGCAAGAATACAAACAAAACTAAAGCAAGCCAGGATGGCACTACTAGTCCAGCCACTGGAGGTAAGGCCACAAGGCCCGTCTGACAGGCATATATAATAGAGAGTACACAATCAGGATCCTAACAGGTGAGTAGCTACAGGAACAAGACCAAGCTGTACACAGTATCAGAATTGTAAATTGAATGTTTGATAGAAAGAGAGTACACAAGGATATATCTCAGGGTTGTACCCTCTAAGAGACTACCCTATACAGTCTATACAAACATGACAAGTACACATGTTTGACACACCCCCTAGACTGCATAGGGGAATGTCCTAAACAAGCAGCTCAAGGAGGCACTACTAGTCCAACCTCTGAGACAAGGGTCTGAGAGACCAGTCAGAAGGAGTACAGACAAGGCAAGAGCAAGAGCAGGGCGGCACTACTAGTCCAGCCACTGGGAGAGGACACAAGTCCAGTCTGAGTATACATATAAAGGACAATACAAAGTCAAGGTCCTAGCAAGTGAGAGGCTACAGGAACTAGACCAAGCTGTACACAGTGCCGCTGATGATCTTTAGGCGCAAGCGCCTTCGTAAAGATATCAGCTGTGTTGGCACCTGAGGCCAAGTGTACTACGCGAGCCTGACGTCGCTGCTGTAGCTCACGCAGGAGGAAGTACCGCAGCTGAATGTGCTTCGCTCTGCCCTCGAGTCGAGGCTCCTGACACAGGAGGATCATGGCCCTGTTGTCAGCGAACAGGACCGGGGCAGAGCTAGGCCGCTCACCTAAGTCAGTGAGCAAGAAGGTCAGCCAGCGGAGCTCCTGTGCCGCCATGGCACCAGCGTAGATCTCAGCCTCACAGCTGGACTGCGCCACAGACGAGGAGCGGGTAGCTCTCCACGAGACGGCAGCTGAGCCAAGGCTGAAGCAGTAGCCCTGGGTAGACCTGAGTGTCTCGGCGTCGTCTGCCCACGAAGCGTCTGTGTGTCCAGTAAGGACCACTGGCCTGCGTCCTCCTAGCACTAACCCCATGCCCGATGTACTAGCAAGATAACGCAGAACCCTCTTAGCGGCAGACCAGTGCTGCGGTCGGTGTCTGCCTGTGGCCACAAAACGAGCCAGGATGCTGAGAGGGTATGCGAGATCTGGGCGAGTGCAAGTCATCAGGTACATGAGGCAACCCACCAGCTCTGCGTAGGGGCCGCTGGGCTCTACCAACTCCTCAGACACTGGAGCGGAGAGCCTGTGGTCTACAGGCAGAGGGGTGGGCTGTGCAGAGGAGAACTGAAGGCTGAAACTCTGAAGGACCTGGCGCACCAAGTGTGACTGAGTCAGGGTGATGGTGCGCGCAGCTCTATCCCTGGAGACCTGCAGGCCAAGGTAACGGCGCAGTTCTCCAAGGTCAGTGCAGGTGTGTCTCTTCAGCAGCTCTGCCTTTACGGAGGCCAGTGCGTCCCTGTCTGCTGTGGCAAAGACCAGGTCGTCGACGTAAACAAGGATGTAGAACGGGGTCTGGCCAGCACGAACGAAGAGTGAAGGGTCTGCGGAAGACGGAAAGAACTGCAGGTCAGCAAGCGTAGCACGGAGAGTGTCGTGCCACTCACGGGGAGCCTGGCGCAGGCCGTAGACGGGGCGTCGCAGGAGCCACTGGGTCCCAGGAGGGAAGGTGCCAGTGAAGCCCGGAGGGCGACGTAGGTAGACCTGCTCGTGTAGGCTGCCCTGAAGGAAGGCAGTGGAGAAGTCGAGGGAGTGAAGCTCGTAGTCACGCTGAGCAGCTAGGTGTAACAGAACCCGAAGAGTAGTCATCTTTGGGGTCGGAGCGAAGGTCTGGAAGAAGTCCACCCCCTCGCGCTGACTGAAGCCTCTAGCCACATAGCGCGCCTTGAACACAGGCGGCTCTCCAGGAGGGCGCTTCACCTTGAAGAGCCAGCGGCCATCGACTACGTTCACCCCAGGCGGGGGAACTGCGTCGACGAAGGTGCCGGTGGATCTCCAAGATGCCATCTCCTGCTCCATGGCAGATATCCACTGCGAGGCCCAGGGTCCCGAGGTCGCCTCAGCGTAAGTGCGAGGGGTCGGGATGTCGAAAGCGTCTGGGTCACCCTCAGGGACTAGCAGCATGGAACAGAGATGGGGAGCAGCCTCGGACAGGAAAGCAAGCTCGAACTGGCGGTCCTCCAGGACGTCACTGCCAAGGGCAGGAGCACCCCCGACAGACGGAGGACAGGCAGGGTCAGAGACCACAGCTGTGGCGTAGTCAAGGCGGCGGGTAGAGGCGAAGTCAGCGACAGCAGCGACAAGAGCGTCAAGGCACGAGACCGGAACGGACGGGTCAGTAACGAGAGAGGCAAGGACGCGAGGAACAAGGGGACGAGCGGCACGAAGGTAGTCAGACAGCGGGGGGGGGGTGCAACAACAAGGGAGGACGGAGGAGGCGACGGCAGAAGGGGAGGACGAGACGCGTGGGAACGAAGCAACATAGGGTGGGAGCGCAAGACAGGCGAAGCAGGACGAGCACAGGGGGGACGGTGAGACCAGACGTGCGACGGAGGAGTCGGGTCAGGAGACAGAGGAGGGGACACAGGAGGGGAACGAGGGGGGAGACGGGCCGGGGACGAGTCCGGCGGAGGGAAAACAGGGCCGTAGACAGGAAGAGGAGGAGACTGCAGGAGAGGAACAGACGCAGGGTCGGGGGACGGAAGGCCGAGCAGGCGAAGGGCGGACACCGGCGGGGACTGCTGCTGGGGCGGCACAACGGCGACACCTGGACCGCAAGCTGCTCCTCGGCTACCACCGGCACTCTCCACACCAGCACCCCCAGAGGGACCACCCCCAGTGCTACAGGGACAACCACCCCCAGAGTCAGCGAACGGGTGCTGCGACGGCGGCGGCGGTGGCGGCAACGACGGCTGCAGCGGCAGCAGAGGCGGTGGAGGAGGGGACTGGGGAGGGGACGCCAGGGGAGGGGCGGCTGGCGAGGACTGCACAGGAGGGCCGCCAGAGTCAGAAGACTCCTCAACCGGGTCCACCGACGGAAGGGGGGTGACGTGGGACACACCAGAGGGGGCGGGACGGGGAGGAGGAGGAGGAGGGGCAGGGACTACCGGGGAAGGAGGGACCAGGAACAGGGGGGGGGTAACCGGGGGACCACGGTGGGGGAAGCGACGGTAGTAGGAGACGGACTCGT